ATTACATGGAAATTACGATTCCTTTATTTTTTTCTGGGAATTTCAGCACTTCGACTTTTGGGGGAGCGTGGGGTATGTGAACTTGCTCACTTTTTTTCTTTCATTGTGCATAAAATTATAAATAACTTTAAATCAAATTATATTAGGAATAATAAAGCCTATACACGGTATTTATTTGATAATAATTAATCTGTTTCAGACGTTTTTCTTAAATTATTTTTATGAGAGTGTGAATATGTATGTTTTATTACCCCCACCCCCCACCCCCCACCCCACCCCTCCTATCACAGGAAAATATCTTCAAAAGGTGCGAATGATTCGTAATAATGCATGCTTTATTATAAATTTAATGAAGTTAAACCATGTAATCATAAATTTTATTTACTACATTTACAAACAAGAGTAATGTTTATTTTTGAAAAAAAAAATTCAATCAACCCCACTGAGCTTTCAACCTTTGATATTTTCCCTGACCAAATAAAATGATCGGCATGGGCCACGTGTGTCCAAGCATTTTTTACTATTGAGTTAGCAATGGATTACATGACTTCTGAGATGGATTTTTCAATAAAAGTAAAATAGGATAATTCTTTCGACATGTGCACATCCCTGTAACGATAGCAGTATTCAGGTAAATGTTTCATCACTGCGTTTGACGCGTTTTTTCGACCTGCATGGATTTTTGCTGTACATAAATGTATTCCGTGTTAGAGTACTTTTTATATTGCAGCAAATGCATTCAAAAATAATTTAATTCTCGGTATAGTTCTATTTTTTGTTGAATTTTTACTTTCAAACATGTATTGGTCAGTTTATGGACTTCTAAAAACTATGCTATCGGAGATGTGTACATGTCGACAGCCAGACTAGTAAATCACTCAAGTGAAACAATTCGTCAAGGCTATATATAGCAGGTACAGGTGGCCAAAAATCTTCGATTAAATATGGCGGAATCAAAGAAATATGTCGGACAAGGGCGTACAGGAATGTAGTAAGTCGTACAAAGATGAAAACTGATGCCTTTTTAAGAGTTCATGTCAGCTTTAAGGAATCACTGTCTAGTTTTGAGAGTATCCCAGGGCATCAACAATAGTGGGAAACATGGGATAATTTGCATAACGGGCGAAGCCCGTTTTGCTAAAATTATCCCATGTTTCCCACTGTTGTTGATGTCCCTGGCATACTCTCAAAACTAGACAGTGATTCCTTATATTTCCATTTCATTGTGAAATAAAATTGTAGACTTAGACATTAAGAATGTAGACTAATCGATTTAAATTACACGAGGACTTCCATGCCATTTTCAATAGTCCTCGAACACTGACGTCAAAAACAAAGGCAGCCGCACGAGATTTACATGCATATTTGGCCTCCTTAGCTTCAGACTCAGAGACAGATGCGCACGAGATTTGCGTGCGTATTAGACCTCCTGAGCTGCTGAGCTATAGACCTGCCTAATTTACATTCCGGCAGAATTATCAGGAAATCAAGTCCGCTCACTTTCAAAGGGTTATTATAGAGAAAAAATTTAGAAATGGAAATATTATTATATCATTTATTTTTAATTGGCTAGCATTTCTCAGCACCTAGACAGCAGTGAGCAAACAGCCACACTGGAAAAGACAGACAGTACTATTTTATGGAAATTAAAATCATTGGCTCCTCACACTGAATCTGTCGCTCAGTTTAGGGTAGGTCAAATCAACATGTACATAAAAACTTGGTTTAAATTCATGTGAATCTTTTTTTTTATTGAATGTCATTGTTTTATAAATGGTTGAATCAGCGTTTTGTAAGCAGTTTTGCAAAGTACAACAAATTTTCAGTTGGGCAGAAAATTGAACTTTTTATTTAAAATAAAATTCTAATTGGGTTTGAGGAAGTCCAAAGAATATTTTAGTCTTGAATTTTTTGATATAAAGGTTTTACTGCTTTGGACTATTAATACCTTATCCAGGTATAATGTAAAACTAGGAAGACGTTGGACCTCTTAGAATGGAGTTTGAAATTTCTGGCCATCTTCTCTCAGGGATGAAAATAAAAACTGTGAAAATTGTAAATCAGTAGCAGACAACTCCACAGAAGTGGCTGAGATACATAACTGTCAGTGATTCATTTCTTGTTAAACTTGTGTAGCAATGAAACTAAAGAGTAGATATTATATTATTATAAGAAAATATGTGCAATCTATTTTTATGCTAACTTAACAAAATTTCCTTGATCATTACAATTTGTACAGAATGTTTTTGTGATAGATACATGTAATTTAAATCTCTCAATTTGTAGAAAACTTAGATATCCTCAATCAGATGTTTTAGATGAAGTTAAGTACAATGTAAGATACTGATGACAACAACTTTACTGTATTGTTTAACAAAGCCTGTTTACCACTTTCTGATAAAATAATCACAAAGTTGTTGCACATCGTCTTTATTATTTAATTATATCTCATTGATAAAGAAAAATTGTTGATCATTAAAAGTCCAATGTTTATATGAACTTTCTTCTAATATGTTATAAATTGTATGCTTTGATATAGCTAAATAGTAAACAGAAATATTGCCTAATTAAATTGAAGAATCAGCATTGTGGGCAGTTTATCTTATCACATGTGTATAGGGTATGTGGATTTGGGATATATTCATGGTATATAAAAGCAACAAACATTAACCCCTCATGAAAATAATTAAGTGATTACACATTGACCATTTGCAGAGAATACTAATAAAATTAATCCTGCCCCCCCCATCCCCTCAATGGAAAATAAACTCTTAGAGTGGGAGGAGACCAGTCACAAACTTCCTTACATTAATTTCTGGTTTTTTGCCCTGAAACGTCATATGGTGGATATTTTAATATTTTACCAATGACAGGTTGAAGGAGGGGGGGGGGGGGTGATGAGTATTTTATATTATGCATCAGCATTTATTTATATATTTCTCATATATGTATTGAGTATTTCGTCCACCTGATCAATAAATGGGGTATACATTGTACAGTGGATGTGATGGGCTGACAAGGGATACTTCCTCCTTCTAGGCAGCTGATCCCACTTCTGGAAATTCCAGATTGTCGTATAGATCCTCTGATAACAGTATTTTGATAGGAAAGTTTGTGTAGAAAGTCATTTTTGCATGTTAATTTTTTATCTTTTTATTATCATAAGTAATTCAGACTGGGTTTTTAGCTCACCTGAGCCGAAGGCTCAAGTGAGCTTTTCTGATCAAAATTTGTCCGTTGTCTGTCGTCGTCGTCGTCGTTGTTGTTGTTGTAAACTTTTCACATTTTCATCTTCTTCTCAAGAACCACTGGGCCAATTTCAACCAAACTTGGCGCAGAGTATCCTTGGGTGAAGGGGATTCAAGTTTGTTAAAATGAAGGGCCACACCCTTTTCCAAGGGGAAATAATCATGAATTTGTTAAAAATTAATGGCATTTTTAAAAAATCTTCTTCTCCAGAACCGCTGGGCCAGGAAAAATGAAACTCATGTGGAAGCATCCTCAGGTAGTGTAGATTCAAGTTGTTCAAATCATGACCCCCGGGGCAAGGGTGGGGCCAAAATGGCCAACCCTAGTTTTACATAGGAATGTATAGGAAAAATCTTTAAAAATTTTCTTCTCCAGAACCACTGGGCCAGGAAAGATGAAACTCATGTGGAATCATCCTCAGGTAGTGTAGATTCAACTTTATTCAAATCATGACCCCCGGGGCAAGGATGGGGCCAAAATGGCCGATGCAAGATTTACATAGGAATATATAAGAAAAATCTTTTAAAATCTTCTTCTCCAGAACCACTAGGCCAGGAAAGATGAAACTCATGTGGATTCATCCTCAGGTAGTGTAGATTCAACTTTATTCAAATCATGACCCCCCGGGGCAAGGGTGGGGCCAAAATCGCCGACCCAAGTTTTACATAGGAATATATTAGAAAAATCTTTAAAAATCTTCTTCTCCAGAACCACTAGGCCAGGAAAGATGAAACTCATGTGGATTCATCCTCAGGTAGTGTAGATTCAAGTTTGTTCAAATCATGACCCCCGGGGCTAGGGTGGGGCCAAAATGGCCGACCCAAGTTTTACATAGGGATATATAGGGAAACCTTTTAAAATCTTCTTTTCAAGTACTTCAAAGCTATGATTAGTGATATTTATTTGGAATCATCCTCAGGTAGTGTAGATTCTAGTTTGTTCAAATGATGAACGCCTGGAGGGGGGGGGGTTAAATTCAAGCCAGATGTGCTCAGGTGAGCGCTGTGGCCCCTGGGCCTCTTGTTAATGAATGAATTCTGATTTAAAATTATGTCTTGAAAAATGTAGCAACAATGGAAAGTTGTGTAAGAATAATTGATAATGGTCAATATTTTCATATTAAGTTTACTTCAGATATTTTTCTCTCATTTTTCCGACAGAAATTTGGAAATTCTTTAGTTTAACATTTAGTTAGTGACATATCAATGAAGTAAGGAATGAGATTGGGAAAAGAAACTTGCCATGTCAACTCAGATTTGTCTTGATAAACAGGGTATTTTATATATGAGGCAATAACATTCAGCCTAATTTAAGATTACGGATTAATACAATTACAATATCATTTTAGAATATGCCGTTTTCCATATCATTACATTACCGCCAACAAATTCGTTCAATGTCCTGGAGGCAGTTTTCTGTCTAATGTTTATTAAGTAGCCTTAACACTCTTAAACTTATAACAAATTTTCTGATAAATATTCTGGACTAGTAACTTGACCTAACTGTTTAGCGGGATTGCTATGACCATTCTCTGTTAATTTGAAATTTTGAAGTCGATATTTGTGAGGTTGTGGGGTCAGAACAATGGCTTGATTAATCCTCTTACAACAATTCCAGTATTTCGTATCTTATATTAAATCACACACAACATTCTTAAGAATTCTTAAGAATGTATAAAGAAATAAAATTACTTTTAAAACAATGAAATCCTTTTGGATGACGAATTAATAAAAATGTCATCCCTAAAATGTGTGCTTCTGCAGTAAAGCTATCAGTAATTTAATCACAGGAAGCAAAGATGTAAATTTTGATGATCCTTGGTCAAAACGTAGAATTAGGTGGGGTATAGCTATGATTCATCTGGCATGTATTCATTCAACTTTTTGTATACAATGTATATTACCAAAACAATTTCCAGCTATATATTTTACATTTATCAACTGAGATTTTCATTTAACCATGACCCTATATTCTACAGATCATATCACATCTTCATGGATGTTTGTGGTGTGGTATCGGAGGAATCATTACAAGAAAATCTTCTCCTGATTCTAGAGGTTCTGAATGTATTTTTGGTGAGTGCACTCAGAAAAAAGTTACTGAAGCAATCATCTTCAGTAAATTCAACATATAAAATGTAATATGGAAAAGGTTAAATATTATCATTCCCTTGCAATAGAGTTGAAGGGAATACTTGTACAGTAATGTAATCGTGTGGGTTTGTGGGTGAAAGGGTGAGCAAGTCTGTGTGAAACAAAAATGTCAGAAATTGATGTAGAATGTTGCCTTGATTTATAGATATGCTCTTTGCGACATGATGCTCTGCTTTTTGGTGCCCTTGAACCCTATAAATACAGACTGTAGTTTTCATAATTCTTTTACACAGGCCTTTGGTTATGTCCAGTTGTCCACTACAGATAAATTACAGCCTCATATCCAGTCCACACCGGTACTGACCAGCATAAACAGACAGCCAACACAGGATATTGCATCACGGGTGGTGAGTAAAGTTAAAAATAACCAATACAGGATATTACATCACAGGTGTAATTAACAATAACAAGCACAGGATATTACATCACGGGTGGTGAGTGCAATTAAAAAATACTTCCCTATGTCACAATTGTATAATGTGATTCCTAGTTTGCTGTAATCTCTAGCTTTTTGAAATCACACGTTTTCATACGTGGTTAATTTTTGTTGCTTTTATGATATGAAGAGACAGAAAAATTCATGTCCTCCAAAAAATTTTAACTCACTTACAAATCCAAAAGGAATTCATAGGACTTGTCATTAAAAATTTATAAAGTTCATGCTTTTTCTAACTCAATGAACCTTGAAAATAAATTCCACAGAGGAGGTAATTTTTCCATTATAAATTATAAAATTTTACCATTTAAAAATATTTTTTTTTACCCTTACAGTTTCATAATTCTTTAACTGGATACTTCTTGTGATTAAACAATGTTAATTACCAGTTATTAAGAAATCTTTGGCAATATTTGAAATAATTCAAATACGTCTGCAAAGATTTGCATATACATGTACATAGAGATAGCATTAAGAGCCAGGCTCTATTTTTTTTCAGTTTGGTATAGAAACAAAGACCACCCCTATCCCAGCCACAGACAGACCTGTCATAGCTTCCTCTGTCCAGAAGGTAGGCATACTTCAATACAGAAAAAATATATACAAAACAAAAAGTCATTCTCTTGGAGAATTATTTTGGACCTCAATTACAACAACTGTTATTTCTTAAAGATTCTTTGAAGTTGGTAAAAATTTCGCTGATAGCTAGATTAAGTAAATTAATTTGAATCATTGTTAATTGTTTTTCCTCAGTTTTACAGAGACCATTTTAAGACGTTCGAGACCTAAAGACTTAAAGCAAGCTTTTTTATTTTTATAAAAGCAATTATATATGAGCTGCATTTCTGAAAATTCTATTTTGCTGTTAAAATGCTCTTATGATAAATTTATACATGTATTATAATCCTTTATGATCAATAAGACTCAAATGAAGTATTAATTTATTTCAGAAGAAATAATTATGTCTGTACAATGGAATATATGTAGTAATACATGTAGTATATTTTATAAGAAATCAATATTGTACAGAAGGAAAATAATGTAATTTTGCTTTAATCAAAGCTTTAAAAAGTTCTTCCATTGCAAATTTGAACAACAGAAGTTTAAAAATGTTCTTTATTTCTGTAATTGAAATAGTTAATTATAATATTGCAACAAAACTTTCTGACATCAAATTTGCAGCTCATATTGCTTTAAATGAGAAAATGACCAGGAGCTGTTTTTTTTAGGGGGAGGGTGTCAAAAAGTTTAGGATAAACAACATGATAAAGTGCTTCTCCAGGCAGAAGTCACCCGCGTGGCGCAGTGGTTAGAGCGTCTGCTCTAGAGTCGCGAAGTAAGGATTTAATCCTTACGTGGCAGGTTCGAATCCCACTGTGGGACGTGGAGACCTGTCCTTTGGATGAGACCGTTAAAACCGAGATCCCGTGTCACAGTAGGTGCTGGCACGAAAAAGATCCCTCCCTGCTCAATGGCCCTAAATGCCGAGTATACACCCATTCTCAATATAAGGGCACAAATGCCTCTCTGATTTTTTAAAAAATGAAGTTCAAGAAAACAATTTTTCTATCAATTATCTTTGAAAGAAAGTATCTGAAGATTTTGTTTCCAGATTTTTTTCATCAAATTATAATACATGGAATAATGACAAGACGATAAAGCAGAGGGTGATTTTATTCAGAAATGTAGCTTGAAATGTACGTTACTCTTTCTTCAATGTCCAAAAAGATATGTAAAAAAAATGTACAGTAGTCATTAAAATCACAATTGAAATAGCTCATCTTAACACCAGCATATCCTACCAACTCTGTCAGCAACACATTTTCTCGGCATAAGACCGTGCGTTTGATTTTTTCCTTTCAAAAAACAATGGTTACTTTTTGATCCAAATGTATAAAAACATTTTTTAAATATATGCTTTAAATTCTTCTCTCTGTTTTGTTTAGAGCGATCAGTTTTGGAATCTTGTCATTTTCTATAGATACTGGAACCTAACATGTACATGTAGTAAAATTCTATTTTGTAGTTACTGTCTTTCTTAACATATATCCATGCCGATTTAGAAAACTACGTAAATGTAACGTACATTTCAAGATATATTTCTGTTTAATAAAATGCTTAAAATTCATCTAAAAATTCATCGTTTTGTTTCAGTTTATTAAAAAAAGATTCTCTATGTAATCACATTGTGTTATATGTCGCAATCACAATTATAAAGACACGATTGCCTCAGAATATGAGTAGGTAACGTACATTTCAAGCTTGTAATAATATGTAAATTAGTGATAAGAAATTTTTGAAAAAAAAGCAATTATTGACATAAAAATCATTTTAATGAAGCGTTTTAAGGCAGTAATATAAGAAATCATAATGTAACAAACGAGGTTATTTGTCATCAACTATATGAATGTCACGTCACTTCGGTAACGTTCATTTCACATATTATTGGAGAGTCCCCTCCACCTCAGTTCATTACTATTCTTTTGTGCTGTTTCGCTGAAATTGACACCGGTTGTAGCCTGGTTATTTCTACCTGTGTGCAAGGGTACAGCCAAAAAATATAAGAGTCAGACGTATTTTGCTATGATCTAACAAATGTTCGTGTTTGGCCATTGAAACTTGACATAAATCTATTCCGAATATATTCATCGACAGTTTGTTAACAATTTCATTTAGTATGTTGCAACTTCGTTTTTCAAAACACAAGCATACGTGCTTTTCAGCAGATCTGGAAAAATATAACCCAAAATGCAATAATTCAAACAAAACTGAGTATTGTGTGCCTTTCAGTATTTGAAATGTACGTGACCGTCTTGTGTTCTGGGTTTAGGCCTATTTGTTTCTTTTTTTCTATTTTTTGTTTCTTTTTTTTCCAATTATAAGCCCATGCATACCTTGTTTTAAATTATCAACAACAATTAAATTAATATTGACGAAAAGTCGCATATTAAAAGTAAACAAACTGCAAAAAGGTTGCCAAAGATGAATTTAAGACACTTTGAAATAAATTTTCTAGCATGTGGTAACAGTCTAAAACATTTAGGAGGATTTGGGGTGCATTTAGATGGATTTATGTGGCCAGTTGTCAAATGGATTGTAACGATAATTTTGTTTCGCTCGTGTAAACGCAATTCATTGACTAAATTAAAAAAAAATGTCAGTAAAAAATACGAAAAATGTACGTTACCATACGTAACGTACATTTCAAATATAAAAATCAATTCTCTTCCACAAGCGTACGGTAGACACGCAAGATATTGATACTATTCGAACTTGCATATGATAAGAAATGCATCATACAGGATTCGTATTCAGAAATATATACCAGGTATCAAAATTATATTACATATAATTGACCTTAATATATTTTTTTCCTCAGCAGAAACGTTTCTTTTCATTAATTTTGGGATTTAGCCGACCTACAACCTTTGAAACTTTCCTTTGTGTACACATTCGAGTGTATGAAAGTATGAGAATACATGAAAATTCGTGCGAGATTCACTTAATTCGAATTTCATGGTAACGTACATTTCAGTCACGTACATTTCAAATGATCACTTTTCATGTAAAAAATAATTTTTAATTGTGTTACGCAAAACGTCTTTGCCAGTTTACAGGATACAAGGGGTTGCTTATTCAGAGTCGTCTCATATTTTCTACTTAATATATATTCTTAATGGAAGAATATAGGTAACGTACATTTCTTTCTTATCTCTACGATTGAAAATGTCTTTCATTCCGTAAACATATTTATAAAAGTTGCTCAAATTGTTCAATTTCATGTTACATTATCTAAGTAGGAGTAATAAATCTATTGAAATTTCAAATTTAGCCCATCAGTAAATAAAGGAGAACAAAACTATCAGGTGTATAATCTTTGTGTTTGCTTGTAATGTGGTTGAAATAGAATTAAGCGACAGGGACATTGCACAATAAAAATTATTTATTATCACAAAGAAAATGTATTTATTGTTATGAAAAGAAATATATATGATACAAGGTTTAACTTATCAGAGAATTTTTACTTAAGAATCAACACTATATATTACACAGAGGGGATTCAGAATAATATTTGCCTCGGCGACAGTAACGTACATTTCAAATAGGCTACTATATTTGAATTTGGAATTCCTTAAATACCCTTTCAGATCGATAATTATATGAATTCTTATTCATTGTTATATGACTATTTATAATGTTGATTTAGAAATTACATCAGTGGTATTTCTTTTAAATGAAAATGAGGCGACATCATTTGAGCCCTTATATTGAGAATGGGTGATAGGACAAAATTTGCAGCTCTCCACTAGCAAGTGGTGGCGTCTCCATATGAGTGAAAAATTCTCAAGAGGGACATTAAACAATATGCAATCAATCAATCTCCAGGCAGAACAGTCTAAGACACTCCTCTGATACAGACATCATCTCATATTGCTGTCCTAGTGTTTACATCAAAATAGAAATGAAGGGTGTATGTGTCAGAGAATATTCTTGATCATATAAGGAATTTCAACATACTATGTATAATTTCTGACTGAGTATATGTTTTACAATTTTTTTATTTGGAACATTTTCTCATATTTTAATTGATTTGACTTGATAACTTTAGTCAATATATTTTATTTTTCATTTCATTATCGAACAACATACACCCTTATGAAAAAGGGAAAACTCATCAAGTGTTCCAGTTTGAAACATTTTCATGAAGATGATTTATTTTTTGTACATGTACATGTAATACGTCATTTAGAACACAAAGGTATGACACATTTATAACCTGCATTATGTTCATTCAGATTTTAAACTTTCAACATAATTATATTCACTGCAGATATTTGATTTTCTTCACTTGTTGGTTCATAACTTGAACAACAAACAGATTGTCATTTGTATCTGTACACAGTCCATCGGGATAAACCAGTCCACAGTCTATGTAACGGAGGAACTGTCCATCCTGGTCTATAATGTGGACACAGTCATTGTTAATATCAGCTGTAAGGATGTGACTCTGACTGTCTGTGGTGATTCCTCTTGGATTGAATGATTTGTTCTTTGGAGCAGGAGTATGTCCAGTGTACCTGAATCTCAGTTTCCCGACCTGATTGACCACCACTACTGCTCCAGCTCCAATGTCAGACACACAAATATCCAGGTTCCTGTTCTCAGTAATATATCTACGATAGGGACCATGGGAAAAGAAAGGTTTACCTTTATCATCAAACTGAATGGTTTGTTTCTCTGTGGAGCCAGAGTAACAGACAACTTTTGTTTGTTTGTAATCATCACTGCTCATGATAACCAGGAGGTCACCAGAGGAGGTACTACAGACACCTGCAGGTTTCCAGTTCTGTAGTCTGATCACCTCCTCTATCTTCTTATTCTTCACAATGTTCACAGTTCTATCACTGTAATCAGTATAAACTAGATCTCCACTTTTTGTCACTGCAATGTCCCATGGTCTTTTCTCTGACTTGGTTCTGATTGACTTGAGTAGTGATCCCTGATTGATGCTGAAGAGTGTCATGTTGTAGTCTTCTCCACTTGTCCAGATTTCTTCATCACTCAGACAGGCCACATTGTAAAGTTCTCTATACCCAGTGTCTATGGTGGTGACAGTCTCTGGTTCATCAAGCAGCTGTTTGACAGGAGGAGAGTTTCCAGCTTCATCTGATTTCTGATGTATCTCCTTCATGCTGTAGCCATTCTTTTCTATAGAAAGGGAAGTTAATGATAAAGCTCCAAACAGCTTACTAAGTTGCTCTCCATTGATTTTTTCCTGAGTGAATGAGGATGAGGAGAGAATAATTTGATGGGGTAGCTGTTTATATCTATCTACATTGAATGTAGCGCTTAATAGTTTTGAAATATCACGAGAAGTAAAAGCTTTATCAATTGATTGGATTTCATCCTTGATTTCAATAATTTTCTCGTTTATTTCATCCAGATGTTTCTGTAAAGTTCGGAACTGTGTGTTTTTCATGGCATCAACTTCAGCTTTAAGTTTCTTGACTTGACAAGTTTGTCAATTTCTCTGTGCCAGTCCTCTCCATGTTTTGTTATGGCTGTTGAGAGATCTCCATATTCCTTTTCTAACTGACTCATTCTGTTTTGTACATCAGAGGCAATGTCCTGGTAGGTTGGATAAATTACATCATTTAATTCAGTTTGATCTTTGGTTACCTTGTCTTTTCTTTCATTTAAAACTTCCAATATTTCTGATAATTTATGACCTAAATGTTGATCAGATGCAATACACTTATTGCAAACAGGAAAGTTACAGTGCTTACAGTACATTTTACATCGGCTTTTAACATGTGATGTACACTCAGGGAAGGGGGGTGTAGATTTTCTGTCCTTGAAATCAACAATTTTATGAGGTTTTGAGAGATCAGCTGAAGCATGTTCTCCCACACAGGCCTTACACAGGTTGACAAGACATGTATCACAATGCATCTGTACCACAGCGGTCTCACACAGGTCACATCTCATCACGTCCTGGGCACTGGTAAAGGGGTCCATGATTAAACTTTTAACTCTGAAATATAGAGTTAGTGTGACAATTATAAGTCAGTTTATCTTATGAAAACTTTATGAAAACTTAAATTTACATTAACTTTGTGAACTATATAACATATTGAACTTTGTTTTAACTTAATAAAGAGGCAAATTGCATTGGTAAATACTAGTTATATTTATACACTAAAATGATTTGTGTTGCAATTGATAATCAATTTTGATTTCTAAGTTGTTTCCTGAAAGACAGAGTGCCTTTTTTGGACAGAGAATTTCTTTTAATCGTGCTATTTTCCTTGAACTTGGGTAAAGTTACATTATCATCAGAAAGACAATAGTTCCATTCGTAGAAAAAAAATAGATACAGTAATTGTACAGTGCTCAAAATTGGAGAGTGACAAGAGGGTCAAATGTCATTTCTATATCTAGATCATGCAAATAAAAATTGTTTGAGAAATAGCTAGCAATTCATTCTCACATAATATGTACTTCCACACTTTTTTAATCAGTTTATGTCCAAAACTATAAAAAAGAATTTCTCTATTAAGATCAAACATTCTTGTTTTTGTTATCTTGTCCTTGGATCATTACAGAGATCAGCCATTTTATTCTTGCACATACTTGATCAACCAATGATTCGGTTATAAAAATAGGACACAAATCATGTTTACATGAATTCTTAAAATTGAATTTTCAAGGAAAATATTAGAACTTATAATAATGCAAATGTTACAAAATCAATGTAGATATTACCTGACTTTTGATGGTAATGGAATCCTGTTGCTAAATGTGTATCTATATCTATTATCTATGTCAAGTGACCCACATATCGTGTTTATACCTGTACAACCTTATTTTACTTCCTTGTAGAAGGGATTTAAAATTAAAATTGCAACGAAGTCATGCATATTTATTCTGCACCTTTTTCATGGAGATAGAGAAGATTAAAATATTGCAATTATAGTACCGTATATACTCGCCTATAAGTAGGTTCGCCTATAAGTCGGTTGTATTTTTTGATGTTGCTTTGGTGGGATTTGCTGTTGACCCGCTTATAAGTCGGTACATTTTTTGTCAAAATCGGATGCTAATTTCAAGTAAATCAGTAATGTTGATGTTTTAACCTGGTTTTATATTCATATTTTTCAAAATGACACTAATGTTTAATCATAAATTATTTGTAAAACGGCAATGCTCACTAAAATTACAAATAAAAGTTTTAAATAGGTAAAATCTTGTACTTTATATGTATAATCTAAGAATACATAAATTATCATATATTACATCCAAACATTTTCTTTGATAATCGTCAGAAATGCAAATAAAATACTAAATTTTAGCCTCCAGAAAAATATCTCTTGATGACGCACCCATAAGTCGGACATAGAGTGTTAGACCAATATTTAACTCCCAAAATACCGACTTATAGGCGAGTATATACGGTATCCATTATTTTCAATTTGCTTTGAAGAATTTATAATGTGACAAGTTATAATTTCAGGATAAGAGAAAGAATGAACTCTATGTGGATGTCATAGAAAAGATCACAAGTGTTATAAATGCTGATGTAAGTTTATTTATTTTTTGTTGTAATTTTATTTCTTTTCAATTTGACTACTCTATATTTTAAACAATAGTAGTGGTACATGTACTCCAAAGAAAGTTGAGAGCTATACAGTTTTACTTTGTAAATTCAAATGTCAATTGCAAATATCACATAAAAGCCACAAAATTTTTATGACAAGCAACCCTCATACATTAATATTTTTATATTCAATTTACTGACATATATGTAAAACTCTGCATTGAACTCTCTCCATTTGCAAATTAACATTCTCTTATTTTGAATAATTTTGCAATATTTTAAAAGAACTCAAGTTGATATTTAAACATATTGTATATAACATCCTTTGACAAAATGACTTTTACATTCTATATACTGTAAAAGCACAAATATCCGTGTGGGATTAAATTTTGTTTATTTCGTTGTTAACAACTATCAACAAAATTAAATCCCACATGAAATTTTATATGACTTTATATTGAATAGACTTACTCTCAAAACAACGAAATTAAATGCACACGAAACTATTTTTGATGACAAATCAACGTAATTTTGTCCCCACGAAAATAAGTGTTTTTACAGTATATTTTTATACATGTAAAACCACTTTTTCTTTGCAGGGGAGTGTTTCACGTCTTGAGGTCAGTGGTGCTATGAAGGTCAAAAACTTTCTCTTTGGCAGTCCACAGGTCAAGGTCATTTTAAACAACAACATCATAGTTCAGCGGAATTCCAGAATAAAAGGTATGAAATCAGAAACAAATGAATGAAGAACCTCAAACATTTCAAGTGTGTTTTTCAACTCAGTCACATTACATCTAAGCACTCTAATTATACCCCCAGCAAACGAAGTTTGGGGGGTGATATAGGAATCTCCTTTTCCGTCCGTCTGTCTGTCTAGCTGTCCGTCTGTCTGTGCAAACGTGTCTAGTCAATATCTTTCTTACGGAGGAACATTAGAATCTAATACTCCACACAAAGATTGCTCATGATATAAGGGTGTGTCATGACCTTGACCCAAGGTCATTTGGGGAAGTTCAAGGTCACTGGAAGAAAAAATTCATAATTTGTGTCTGGTCCATATCTTTCTTATGGATAAACTTGGTAGGTTCTAATTTCACACAAAGAAGGGTGTGTCATGACCTTAAACCAAGGTCATTTAGGGAAGTTCAAGGTCACTGGAAGAAAAATTTCAGAATTCGTGTCTGGTCCATACCTTTGTTATGGATAAACTTGGTAGGTTCTAATTTCACATGAAGATTGCTCATATCCTAATGATGTGTCATGACCTTGACCCAACAGGGCTCGACAATAACTTTTTTCCCTACTTGTCCATTCGGACAAGTGACCAAGATATTTACTTGTCCGAACTTCACTTGTCCGAAAATTTTTCAATGAATGTCTTGTTATGTCAACTTGAAAACAATTAAAAAATTAAATGTGCTTGTTATTGATAAATAATACAAACACATATAAAACTAAATTTTATCTAGACTTCCTGTCCTGACAATAGCATAAATGTGCGCAAGTGAATCTGTAATATCAATCAAATATATTCTAAACTCGCAAACGTCGTGAGATCCACGCCATGCAATAGTATGGCTGCAATTAGTGAACATCGATCCCGATCAAGTGTGAACTTACATAGCGTTTGATATCGGGATCGAAATTCAGGTTTATGTACTGCTTCCGTTTATATTCGATAAACTTTACAATAGTTGGGTTTCACTCGGCACACCTCGGCCGATTACATCAAAAGTCATTTGATGTAGGGTACCGTAGTCAGCCGAGGTGAGCCGAATGGTTGGGTTTTTGTTTTATTATTATTATTTGAAGACTTCTTTACAAAGAAAAATCACTTGTCCAATCGGACAAGTGCCCAGCAATATTCACTTGTCCGAAATTTTTTTTCATTGGTACTGGACAAGCGAACAAGCGTTCATGTGGAGCCCTGCCCAAGGTCATTTTGGGAAGTTCAAGGTCACCGGAAGAAAAAATTTATAATTTGTGTCCAGTCCATATCTTTCTAAGGATAAACTTGGAAGGTTTTAATTTCACACAAAGATTCCTCCTGACATTAAGATGTGTCATGACCTTGAACCAAGGTCATTTAGGGAAGTTCAAGGTCACTGGAAGGAAAATTTCAGAATTCGTGTCCGGTCCATATTTTTTTAATGGATAAACTTGGTAAGTTCTAATTTCACACAAAGATTGCTCATAACCTAAGGGTATGTCATGCCTTTGGCCCAAGGTCATATGGGGAAGTTCAAGGTCACTGGAAGAAAAATTTTATAATTTGTGTCTGGTCCATATCTTTCTTTATTATGGAAAAACTTGAATCCCACGGGGAGTATTTTGTCCCGTTTGGACAGTTCTAGTTTACAATTTGTCATTTTGTAAATTTTCTATTTACTTTTATTACTTCAGCTTATGGAGACAATGTCCAGTTGGATAACTGTGTGTTCCATGAATCTGCCAAAGTGGACAATGTGGACACACCCAGTATACTGACTATCTGTCCTCAGATAGGAGAGGTATGTTAATGTCTCAGGATAGTTCACAAGATCATAACAGATGTATTGTCTCTTTCACTAGGATGTTGTCACTTTCACTAGCATGTTGTCACTTTCTTTAGCATGTTGTCACTTTCACTAGCATGTTGTTACTTTCATTAGCATGTTGTCACTTTCACTAGCATGTCGTTTCTTTCCTAGCATGTTGTTTGATTCAGCAGATAGGTAATAGCTAATTGATCAGGATTACCAGTCAGTGTCCTATGTTTTATATGTTACAATTCTACTTACAGTTTACATTGATGTCCTACTCTGTCAGTGGAGAAAGCAGCATTACCTCCCCTTTTCATTTTGTCTCCTCAGTCCAGCCACTAGAACACAGCAGGTCATACAACTGTATTCTGTCAATTTTAAAGCAGAAGCATTTATTATTATTATTATTATTAATACATGCTTTCAGATAATACGTAGAGAGTAGGAAGAAGTTCTGTTATCAATTTTATGCTTTCAAGGGGTATTTAGAGTTAATTAGTACACATTCATGTATGTCTTTTATTCATAAATTCATTTCATGTGAATTCTAATTTCACATAAATTTTCATAAAATCAGTTTTAGATCCTAATCACAATAAATTTGATTGAATATGCAGCAATAATACCACCCTTAAGCTTTATGTTTATTTTATTTCAGGGATGTGATGGTTTGTCTGAGGATAAAAAACATGTTTCCTGTCACCTCTGTCAACCTTAGATTAAAGTTTGGGGTCCCTCAGTCGGTGTCCAAGTAAGTTATCCAAATGAATGTATGTGTTTACGTGATAGAATGTGAAATTAGAGTTAAGATAAATAATCGTTAATACATAAATGCATGTATGACTTGTGCACTAAAACTGGATATATGTAGAAACCTAGCAATTTTTAATTGAGTAATTTTATAAATATTGTATACACTGTACTTTTGCTGCAAGTATGTTATTATATCCGTTATATTTAATTGACTTTAGCATTTCTCAGCACCTAGACAGCAGTGAGCAAACAGCCACACTGGAAAAGACAGACAGTACCATTCTATGGAAGCTAAAATCACTGGCTCCTCACACTGAATCTGTCGCTCAGTTTCGGGTACGTCAAATCTACATGTTTCTCATATAAAATTGGTTTGATGTACATCAATATTTTTTTTGGTATTTTAACAGTTTATTGATGATTGCATTGAAGCAGCATTTTGCGAGCAGTTTTGCAGATCACAACAAATTTTTCTGTTTTGTACCGACCCTCTGATAAGAGAGATAACTTTCAAAGTACAAAATATGAATACTACTCAAGAGACCTCTGAGTAGTCAATTCAATGAAATCTAACATATGATGGAAACATTAATTTTTATTTCTTTTGCTAATTTCTTTGTAATTGTTTTATTATATTTAACAATAAAACATTTAAATCCCACATCTAGAGCCTTGTAAATTGAATAAGTTAAATCTTTTTAAGGCCCATTTTAAAAATGGTTTAATGTTTCAAGTACTTAATTCAGCATTTTCATTAATGTGACTTTTTTTCACATGAAGAAATATTTAGAAGAAAGATAACTCCTCCTCAAAGATGTATTTTATTCTTACAACCACAAACAACATTGTGATTTTCTTACTTAAGAAGCATTGCTTCATCATGTTTTCTAGCATGATTTTAATAGGTATGATACCAAGTATCATTTTCATATGTACCTCATATATTAAATTTAATGTTGTGATAATAAAGCGTTACTCTTTCTGTTCTCTGTGTTCAATTTCTTCATATCATATGATCTGACATAAAAATCATTTCTGAAAAAAAATAAGCAGTGCTTCATAATTCAAACTATTTTCCTATTTTCTTTTATGTTATTGTTGTTTATGATAATCAATATTACAAATTTTAAATTTTCTGTAGTGAAATTTATAGCAGAGGGTCGGGACCCCTTAAATTCTTATCCAGGTATAATGTAACACTAGGTTTTTCTACTTCATTCTTGTTTTTAGTTGATAAGTCAAAGCGGTGCACTAAACAGGGAAGACGTTGGACCTCTTAGAATGGAGTTTGAAATTTCTGGCCATCTTCTCTCAGGGATGAAGATAAAAACTGTGAAAATTGTAAATCAAGAGCAGACAACTCCCCAGAAGTGGTTGAGATACATAACTGTCAGTGATTCATTTCTTGTCAAACTTGTGTAGCAATGTAAACGAAGAGTAAATAGGCAAACTAAAGGTGTAATAAGACAAAATGTACAATTTATTTTTGTGAAAGTTTATTAAATTTTTTTTTATTATTACAAAGTGTACAATTTGTTTTTGTGACAGAAAAGTACATTTATTAAAATCCCATTTGAAACTTCAGTATCCTCACTCATTTGTTCAAATAGAGACATACTGTATGGTAATAGCAGAAATCTTAATGTTTCACGAAACCCTCTCATTTTCCTTCCTGGTTCCTACATTTAAAGAACTTTATTCGGTAATAACCAATATTTGCCCCCAAAATCAAACTTTGATGGAGATATATTTAATTAAGTTCTTAAACAGGGGAGTATATGCTGACTTCAAAGCACTGAATATTTTCATAAGTAATGACGCCATATGTACATAATGACGTCACAAATATGACGTAAATTTCAGTTTTTTATGAATTTTACAGAAAAATGTACATATTTTGTCGATATTTTGAGTAAAAGTCACCGAGCGCATGTGTGTTCAGGATCAATATTTAAATATAATGTGTAGAATGATAATATCAATGAAATATGTCAATATTGTTCCTGAACAAACTTGCGCTCTATTAATTTTAAAGCTAAAATTGTTTAAATTTTGTCCATTTTGTCCTCTCTGAAAAAGGATATAAAATTGGACTAGTTTGTGACGTCATAAAAACAAAAATTGTGAATAAACTGCTTTGACACTATAATATTTTCTGTTAATTTATATTTCTCATACAATTTATTGAATTCAGCACATTTCAGGAAGTTTTCAAAATTTGACTTTTGTGGGGGCAAATGTATGCAATATACCGCATATAGTTCTTTACAGTGTTGTAAAAATTTACGGATTACTGTATAGAGGAAAAATTCTCGCCCTGTTTTATTAGTTTACCTGAGCTGAAAGCTCAAGTGAGCTTTTCTGATCACCCGTTGTCCGTCGTCCGTACGTCTATAAACTTTTCACATTGTCAACTTCTTCTCAAGAACCACTGGACCAATTTTAACCAAACTTGGTATAAAGCATCCTTGGGTAAAGGGGAGTACAAATTGTTAAAATGAAAGGCCAAGTCTACTCAAAGGGGAAATAATAAAAAAATGTAGGGTGGGGTTATAAAAACAAGAGACCCATGGGCCACCTCACTCACCTGAGAAGCTTTGACCATTCAATTTGTAACCAGATTTCCCCCCTTGTAATACCTATTGGGACCCCATAGTACTCCACGGGTCATAATTTGGACAATTTAAAATCTACACTACCCAGGATGTTTCCACAAAAGTTTCAGCTATTCTGGCTATGCAAGTAGTTCTTGAAAAGAAGATTTTTAAGTTATTTTCATAAATATTTCTATATGGTTTAATTTTACTTGTAACATGTCATTTGATTGGATAAAAGATTTATCCATTTTGTGTAACATAACTTGCCTACATCACAATGAGTTATGTCAAAAACGTATTACTCCGCTTGACATTACTTTTAAAATTTAATCATTGTGAAGCCTTGTTCTGGGAGAAAAATTGTCTCATTGTCTGCACTAAAATTAAATTATAAGGAATGAAGCTTATTTCAACTAATATTTGATATAACAAAACTTGGGACAGTTTATGCTTTTTATAAACCGTTTGCGGTTTATAAAGTGTAAATTGTCCCAATTTATGTAATATCGTATAAAATAAGTTGAAATAAGCTTCATTCCTTAAGTAAAACTTTGATTCCCCATTGTGGCCCCACCCAACCCCCAGGAGTCATCATTTCAATAATTTAAAATCTACACTACCCAAGGATGCTTCCACATAAGTTTCATTTTTTCTGGCCCAGTGGTTCTTAAAAAGAAGATTTTTTAAGATTTCTCCTATTTATTTCTATATAAAACTTATTCCATATTGTGGCCCAGCCCAACCCCTGGGAGTCATCATTTGAAAAATTTAGAATCTACTTTACCAAAGGTTGCTTTGATATAAGTTTCAGCTCTTTGGGCTCAGTGGTTCCTGAGAAGATTTTTAAAGATTTTTCCTGTATAAATCTAAGTCAAACTTTGGTTCCCTATCGTGGCCCCACCCAACCCCTTGGGTCATGATTTGAACAATTTCAATCTACACTACCCAAGGATGCTTTGATAAATATAAGTTTCAGCTTTTCTGACCCAGTGGTTCTTGAGAAGAAGATTTTTTAATGACCCCACCCTATTTTTGTCTTTTCTTGATTATATCCCCTTGTGAGAGGACCAGGCCCTTCATTTAAATAATTTGAACTCCCCTTTACCCAAGGATGCTATGTACAAAGTTTGGTTAAAATTGGCCCAGTGGTTCTTGAGAAAAAGTTGGAAATGTGAAAAGTTTACAGACGGACAGAGAGACGGATGGATGTGATCAGAAAGCTCAATTGAGCCTTTGGCTCAGGTGAGCTAAAAATCCTCTTTTCAAGAATCACTGGGCCAGAAAAGCTGAAACTGCATCCTGGAGTAGAGTAGCTTCTAAATTGACCCCTATGGGGTATGGCGGGGTCACAATAGGGAATCTTTTTACATTGAAATATATAGGAAAAATCTTTACACATCTTCTTCTCAAGAACCACTAGGGCAGAAGTTCTGAAACTTATGTGAAAATATTCTGGGTATATTTTATATAGTATAGATTTTCCATTCTCCAAATAATGATCCCTTGGAGTAGGGCAGTGTCATAATTGGTATTACAAAGGGGAAATCTAAAGAATAGTATGACCAATGTTACTCAGGTGAGCGATGTGGATGGGCCTTTTGTTTTTGCCCCTTTCGCCAAACTTTCAATTTAAAATGGGGCGAATTCAAAGAACCAGTATAATTTCTAAAAACAAAATTGTGATTGGGCGAATTTAAAACGGGGCAAAATTGTTTGCAAGTGTAAAGGGCGAAAACAACCCTGTATACAGTATTTTGTATTTTCCTAAATATTTTTATCATAGCCCGTACGTATTTTTGATTGGTATATTGTCATTATTAATTTCATATTAGCACAAAGTTAACATTGTACAGCGCTTAAAATCTCTTTATGATGTTGCACTTTATAAATTTATAAAATATTAATAGTAATAACTTAACATGCAGATTATTTGTTTTATTGTTAACAAATGATTTGAATCTGTCAACTTAAGTGATATGTTTTTAATATATACATGTATATATGTTTTTACAAAGTTGTTAAACAAACAAATAAAGTGTCGAAAACGCCCTCTATTTGAAGACGACAAACTCATTCAAGTAATGCAGCTTGAACATTTTCATGAAATGAATTTATTATTATTTTTTTAAATTTTAACACTTAAGAACGCTAAATTATGAAACTTTCATAATCTGCATAATGTTCATACAGATTTTAAAATGATTGACTTCAAATCACTGTAGATATTTGATTTTCTCCACTTGTGATTTTCTACACAGAGCAACAAACAAATTGTCATTTGTATCTGTACACAGTCCCAGGGGTTCAATCGGTCCACAGTCTATGTAACAGAGGAACTGCCCATCTTGGCCTATGATGTGGACACAGGTATTGTTAGAATCAGCTGTAAGGATGTGACTCTGGCTGTCTGTGGTGATTCCTTGTGGATTGAATGGTTTGTTCTTTGGAGCAGGAGTATCTCCAGTGTACCTGAATCTCAGTTTCCCGGCCTGATTGACCACCACTACTGCTCCATCTCGACTATCGGAAACACAGATATCCAGGTTCCTGTTCTCAGTGATATATCTTTTATATCTACCTGGTGAAAAGAGAGGTTTACCATTACCATCAATTTGAATGCTTTGTTTTTCAGTGGATCCAGAGTAATAGACAACTTTTGTTTGTTAGTAATCATTACTGTCCATGATTACCAGGAGGTCACCAGATGAGGTACTACAGATACCTTTAGGTCTCAAGTTTTGTAGTCTGATCACCTCCTCTATCTTCTCATTCTTTACAATGTTCACAGTTTTATCATCATAATCAGTATAAACTAGATCTCCATTTTTTGTCACTGCTATATCACATTGCCAATTCCCTGACTTGGTTGTGATTGACTTGAGCAGTGATCCCTGACTGATGCTGTAGAGTGTTATGGTGTTGCCATATCCACGTGTCCAGATTTTTTCATCACTCAGACAGGCCACATTGTAAAGTTCTTTATACCAAGTGTCTATGGTGGTGACAATCTCTGGTTCATCAAGCAGCTGTTTGACTGGTGGAGAGTATTCAGCTTCTGGTGATTTCTGTACTGTCTTCATGCTGTAGTCGTACTTTCCTGTAGATGAGGAAGTTAAGGATAAAGCTCCAAACAACGTACTCAGTTGCTGTCCATTTACTCTTCCTTGAGTGAATGTAGTTGAGGAGGGAACAATTTTATGTGGTAGCTGCTTATACTTATCTACATTGAATGTATTGCTAAATAGTTTGGAAATATCACGAGAAGAAACAGCTATATGAATTAAATTGATATCTTCTTTGATTTCCAATATTTTCTTGTTTATTTCATCCAGATGTTTCTGTAGAATTTGTTACTGTGTATTTTTCATTTCATCACCCTCAGCTTTAGGTTTCTTGACGCGTTTGTCAATTATTCTGTGCCAGTCTTCTCCATGTTTTATTATTGCAGTTGAAAGATTTTCATGTTCTTTTTCTACATCAGAGGCAATTTCCAGGTAGATTGGAAATATTGTTTCATTTAATTCAGTTTGTTTTTTCAATAGCATGTTTTTTCTTTCATCCAACACCTGCAATATTTCTGATAATTTATGACCCAGATGATTTTCAGATGTAATGCACTTGGTGCAAACTGGAATGTCACATTCATTGCAGTACACTTTATATCGTTCTTTATCATGAGAGGTACACCCGGGGTAAAGAGGCGTTGATAATCTTTCCTTGAAGTCCACAATTTTATGAGGTTTTGAGAGATCAGCAGAAAAGTGTTCTCCCACACAGGCCTTACAGAGGTTGACAAGGCATGTGCCACAGTGCATCTGTACCACAGCGGTCTCACACAGGTCACATCGCATCACATCCTGGGCACTGAGGCGGGGATCCATGATGAAACTTGCAACTCTAGAGTGGAAGTGAAAACTTAGTTTAGTATAACTTATTATGTAAACTGATGGAAAAATGAAAATGTACATGAATAATAATTGTCCCCAGCTTTCAGGAAATTGAAAGAATATTAAACCTTAACCAGCTGTAGGTCTATCACAAAAACTTTGAACTTTTGAATTGAGAAAGAGTAGGACTTTCATATTTCACATGTGTATTATATAATGTACATGTGGCAAGACCTTTCCATATGCATTAATTTTTTTTGTCCCTTAATATATGTAACTGAACTTAAATTTTGACCTCCTTTTAAAAAAATTGTACATTGTTCATAACTTTTAAATGAGAAAAGATAGATAGGCCTTCATATTTTACAGTGCATTCAATAATGTGACAAACCTTTCTAAATGCCCTATGATATTTGACATCATGACCTTGAAAATCGATTAATCAAAACAATAAAATTAGTCAAAACTTTTCAATTAGTAAAGATAGGGCTCTAAATTTCACGTACTACAATACTTTTCAGAAAGTAGTATCACTTTTGACCACATGACCTTGATGTAAAACTCTGATTCACTCATCATTAACTTTGTACATTGGTCCAATCTTATGCACAAGAAAATTCTAGGCTTTCACATTTTTTCATGATTTTAATTTATGAGTTGAGGCCATGGTCTTAAATTAATGCCATTCAGATTTTTTTTTTTAAATTTTGGACATAATTCTTATTTAAACTAAGATTTAGATTTTTTTTTAAATCATGGACAAAAAGGCCGGACATACAAACAAAACAATTACAACATAACATAAATAAATGCATCAAACCCAAAATGACACCAAAAGCTGGGTGCACTTTCCCTGAAATTTGATTGCTATAGGGGCCTATATTTTATACATTATGACCTACATTTAAGTATAGCTTCAACCAACAGAGTATCAGTTAACCATGCAGATTACTAAATGTTCATATGTTCAGAGTTAGAGAACGAGATAATAATCAAAGTATGTTTTTATGCTAAAAAAAATGACATAAAAGACAACAGTTCCATTAAAAAAAAATAAATATTTGTACCGCTGAAACTGGAGACAAAACAAGGGGTGTAATCTTTATAATTGTTCCTGCAATTATTGATGTTGATTTAATAAATAAAAGATAAATCTTGAATTTGGATTATCTTATTGACTTAATTGTACCGACAGTTATGATTACATAAGATGGACCCCTCCTTTTTCCTTTGTTACAGAGCTCAGGCATTTTTCTCCCAAACCAATGACGCGTTGTAAAATACTTGAACAAAATATGTTTTCGTGAATGCTTAGAATAAAATGTACAAAAAAAAAAAAAATAAATTTATCATAATATACGATGTTACAATGTCATATTTGATATTACCTGACTTCAGATTTTAATAGCTGCTGTCCTATCAATCCTGATGCTAAACATACACTTTCTAGGCGTGTTTGTAATTTCTAGTTTACGTGACCCACATATGTGCCCTATGCCTGCACTTTTTTTAAAACTTCCATGTACAAGTGATTTTCTTTACTGCTCATTTCTTGATAACTGTGTTGTGCATATTTTCCTGCAATTTATTAAATGAAATAGAAGTAATAAATTATTGCAAAAATAATCAGTGATTTAAATACTGATTTAAGTTTATTCCTTTTCGTTAACAGCTCTATATACAATCGGTAATCCTCGGCTGGCTCCGCTACATGTACGCTTCTAATAGCAAACCAATGACGCGTTGTCAAAATACTTGAACAAAATATGTTTACGGGAATGCTTAAAATAAAATTTACCAAAAAAAAAAATCAAAATTTATCATAAATCGATGTTATAATGTCATATTTGATATAACGTAACCTGACTTCAGATATTAATGGCTGCTGTCATATCAATCCTGATGCTAAATGTCTTCTAACTGAAATTAATTTACACGTCAAATATGAAAAGAATTAGAAGTATACATTATATTCATTTACACGTCAAATATGAAAAGAATTAGAAGTATACATTATATTTTTTCTATACAGTAAAGGGACTAATATTTGTGGATGAAATGCGGTTTGAGAAAAATATATTTTTTCGAGGGCATTTGATTTTGTTGGTAAGTGAAAAAAACACCAACTTTTAGTATTGGATTTACATATTTCATGGGGCATGGAAAATCTCCATGACATTTGAATACAACAAACATTAACCCCTGATGAAAATAGCTAGGTTATTGCAAAGTTTAATACAGTCTGCAGAATTTAAAATGTGTTTCGATAATAAAATAACCTTGAAACACCCCCATGTAATTTGGCCCCTGTTCCTATAAACTTGTGAAAAAGTTTCTTTGTAGTGACGAGTCACCCCCTTCCCTAGATAAAAATCTGTTTTCTTTTTACCGTAATGCGTTTGACCATTTGTACGTACGATTATTTTGGTAACATGTGTACATTTTATTAATAATCAAGCCCTAATTCATTTTATATCATATATAAATGTTATTTTTATTCTAAATTAGATCAAGTTCATAGTTTTACCATCCCTATATATTCGACATGTTGTTTTTTCTATTTGAAAACATTTGCTTCCTGTTGATAATACGCAGTTTCTCTTCAATTTCCTTATCGATAATTTTGTCATTTCTTTTCGATGATTTCTCGTTTCCAAATCTATAATTTTCTAATTCATATTCGATAATTTATTTTGTTCTTATTCGATATTTAAACGATTTATATTTGATAAACATATGCTATGTTTATTGTTAAAAATAACATTCCTAATCGAAAGCATATAATTCGTATTCAATTTTTTTATTATTCTTATTTGATAAATCGATCAATTATTAATTTTATTACTCAAATACAATAATCAAATAAAAATTTTTAATATTAAGTACTTCTCAGTATAGTCTATGATTGATTGATTGAATATTGTTTACCGCCGAGTCGGTCAATTTTCAGCCATGTTTCGGCGGATAGTATAATATAAGAATCTCCTCTGATACAGACATCTTCTTATGCTGTGTCTGCGTGTGTACATAAAAATAGAAAAGAAGGGTGTGAGTGTGTGTCAGAGAATATTCTTGATTAATTGATTGTATGATGGAGAGCTGAAAAGTTTGTCCTGTTGAAATTAAAAATTTGAGTTAAACATATTTAATCCTGTTAATTAACCAACAAGTATTGTGTTGCATACTCCCTGCATATAAAGGGAGCAAACTGATTCAAAGGTGTCAAATAAATTTATTTTAAAAACACATTTAGAACACAAAGGTATGACACCTTTATCTGCATAATGAAAGGTGAGATATTAAAATGCCAACACTATTCTATCCCCTTTATAGTATACTAGTACTAATGGACTTCAGTGCAGATATTTGATTTTCTTCACTTGTCTATCTCCGTACTGAGCAACAAAGAGATTGTCATTTGTATCTATACACAGTCCCCAGGGATCACTCAGTCCACAGTCTATGTAACGGAGGAACTGTCCATCCTGGTCTATAATGTGGACACAATCATTGTTGAAATCAACTGTAAGGATATGACTCTGACTGTCTGTACTGATTCCCAGTGGATTGAATTGTTGATTCTTTAGAGCAGGAGTATGTCCAGTGTACCTGAATCTCAGTTTCCCGGCCTGATTGACCACCACTACTGCTCCAGCTCCAAGGTCAGACACACAGATATCCTGGTTCCTGTTCTCACGGATATGTTTTAGCAAAAAACTCTTGTATGAAAAGAGAGGTTTGCCGTTATCATCAAACTGAATGGTTTGATTCTGTGTGGAGCCTGAATAACGGACAATTTTTGTTTGCTTATAAGCATCATTCTCCAAGATAATCAGCAGATCACCCGATGGAGTGATACAGACAGCACGAGGTTTCCAATTCTGTAGTCTGATCACCTCCTCCACATTTATCTTACCATTCTTCACAATGTTCACAGTTCTATCGTTGTAATCGGTATAAACTAGGTCTCCACTTTTTGTCACTGCTATGCTAGAGTGTGTAGTCCCTGACCTGGTTGTATTGACTTGAGTAGTGATCCCTGATTGATGCTGAAAAGTTTCATTGTGCTGTCATCCCCACTTGTCCAGATTTCTTCATCACTCAAACAGGCCACATTGTAAAGGTATTCATAACCAGTGTTTATGGTGGTGACAGTCTCTGTTTCATCAAGCAATTGCTTGACTGAAGAAGAGGATCCAGTTTCATGTAATTTCTGTGATGTCTTTATGCTGTAACCTTTCTTTTCTGGGGATAGGGAAGTTAATGATAAAGTTCCAAACAGTTCACTGAGTTGCTCTCCATAAATTTTGCCTTGGGTGAATGTAGGTGAAAAAAGCGTTATTTTATGTGGTAGCTGTCTGTACTTATCTACATCAAATGTAGTGCCAAATAGTTTAATTGGAAACATCATTAGAAGTAACAGCTTTTTCTATTGAATTGATTTCATCTTTGATTTCAATAACTTTTTTGTTTATTTCATCCAGTTGTTTTTATAGAGCTTGAATCTGCATGTGTTTAATCTCATCATATTCAGCTTTTAGTTTCTTGACAAGTTTATCAATTTCTCTATGCCAGTCCTCTCCATGTTTTGTTATGGCTGTGAAGAGATCTCCATATTTCTTTTCTACCTGACTTATTCTGTTTTTTACATCAGATACAATGTCTTGGTAGGTTGGAAAAATAACCTCATTTAATTCAATATGATTTTTTCTTAGTTTGTCTTTTCTTTCCTCCAAAACTTCCAATATTTCTGATATTTTATGACCTATATGTTGATCAGATCCAATACATTTTATGCATACAGGAATTTTACAACGTTTACAGTACATTTTACAGCTCCCTTTCCCATGAAATGTACACCAAGGGTAGAGGCAAGTCGATTTTCTGTCCTTAAAATCAACAATTTTATGAGGTTTTGAAAAATCAGCAGATATATGTTCTCCCACACAAGCTTTACACAGGTTGACAAGACATGTATCACAGTGCATCTGCACCACAGCGGTCTCACACAGGTCACATCGCATCACATCCTGGACGCTGGTTCGGGGGTCCATAATTAAACTTTCAACTCTGAAATATAGTGTTAGTTTAACACTTATAGTTATCTGATGGAAAATTGAACTTATTCATCCTCAAGGTAGAATTCCAATTTTCGGGTGTAGGAATGAGCAAAGATTTCTTTTAATCATACTAATTTCCCATTACAGATTAAAAGTTAAAATGGTGTCAACATTTCGATTAAATAAAACAGGCATTTATGGTGTTCAACAGAAACTGGTGCTTTACAAGAGGATCAAATGTTCTGTTTATCAGATCATGTATGAAAGGTCAATATAATATAATAACGTTTACTCATTATTGGCTTCTGAACTGGAGAGATATAAAAGAGGAACACGAGAAACGCATATACTATATTATCAATATTTATAAACACACAGTGGGATAATGTATTATTGAAACGCACAAATATGATAACGGTGTAACTCTCATTGTATTGCATACTTTTCTCTTCGCAAAACCTTTATCTCTCTTTGTAAGGCTCTCTTACAAGCGTTGCCAGGCAAATCGTTGGTGCTCAAACTAGATAAAACCAAAAGATTTTTTCTCTATAGATATACTCACAAGTCACATGGTGTAGAGGACCCTAGAGAAATAGCAAAATATTCTCACATGATACTTTTTGTCAGTGTAAGTTCATATGTACGTACGATGGTTGTCCCAGAAAAACGCAATTTTTTTTTTAAATTTCATGTCACTAAGACTATGTAATTAAAAATTGGCATACTACTCATCAACATCTTTTAACAATGCCTAAAAGTTCAATGAAATATCTCTATAAATAGAAACTTTCCTTTCAACAAATCCGATGTAGGCGCAACACTGATGGTATCAAAACGAAGCTCGTATTGTGTGTAAATTTGTTTTGGAAAATGTGCTTCTAATAAAATTCATATAAATAAAATCGGCTCTGAATTTAGTTTTCCTTTAGTAACAAAATTTTCATCTCAAATACTAATGTTACCAAAATAAAAGATTGCGCAGTTAATTCTTCTAACAGATAATTTCGCTTTCCCAATCATAAACCTAATTGACCGAATCCTTTAACAGCGGTCTTCACGTACCTTACGACGCCCTGCTCTTTTCATTTCAATTCGTCTACTCTTTGGCCCATTCTCTTCTCTCGGATAACCAGTCAAGCCAGTCTCAAACCCCTTCAGCTAGAGATAAATTTTTTTCCATACTTGTGTTGTGTTTTTTCATCGTTAACATCTCTTTTTATCCCTATGTACAAGAGTCGTATCCCGCTCAACATTCGTGCTACACAGTACCGCCTTATGTCATATCATTTTTGACAATTTCTAATTTAAAGTACTTTAGAATTTATCGTTATATATTTGTAATTAATAATGCTAAATAGATTAGTTTTTTAACAAGAGCACACAGCATTATAGAGTGTTCATGGAGGTAAAATCTGTAGTATTATATTTCCTTATACCATGATTAAAAAGAATACATCATTGACTATGCTATTTGCAAAAGTCAAAAATTCTCTTGCGCCGAACACCGATACTTAAAATCTTCTACGTACTTTTTTTTATAAGCATGTGGCATCACAGACATATAATGTGTTGTCAAAATAACAAAAAGATAGTTTTCCTGCAAAAAATCATTATTTTTGGTTCAATTAAGAAATTAATTTAATTTTTTGAAGATTCATGAGGTTATGAACTACGACGCTTCACGCCGGTGTAAAGACGAATAAAGACCCCCATCGAATAATGACCGGGGGTCATTTTTCAACGACAAAAAATGACCCCCTACCCGTAGAAAAAAAAATCATTTTTCATAGAAAAAGTGTCCTAGGGGTCATTATTTTATATGTTAGTCCTATAAAAAATTGGCCCCTATTGAAAAATGACCCCCTTTAAAGTGAAAAGAGATTCTTTAATTGTCAAGTAAATAAAATTTCTTTTTAATATTCCTCCTTATAGTGTTTACTTAAAGAATGATATTCCACTTGTTTTTAGAAATCAAACCATGCAACAATCAGGTTCTGGACAATACTCTTTAATAGAAAAATTAATTTTTCCTTCATTTCAACTTTTAGCTTGTATAAGTTTGACAACTCCTATTTGACAATGAAAAGCAAAAATATCAATAAAACTTTATAACTTTCAATGATACTGAAAGAGGCTCTAGATAAAATATTGAAATGAAGTTAAGCCTTCACACAAGTTCTATCATATCATTATTAACTTCGCCATGATTAAGGCATACTTTAAATGTTGGTGGGGGTATACTTGAAAGAATTGTGGCAAAGTAACAGTTGAAAATTAGTAGAATAGTAGATAATTTTAAGCTTATTTTTAGTCCCTTCTTATAAGGAAAATAAAGGTAGGGTAGTTTTTTTTTTCTTGTTGCTTTTGTTGATAATCGACTTCCTCCTAAATAAGTAAGAGCGTGGGGTGGGTATAACACCTAATAAAATGCTCTGTAAAGCTATGGGCTAGTGTAAAATACACATTCTAATGCAAAAACTATCAATGTAGACAAAACCTTTTGATTTAGCACTCAGTATTCATTATTTTTCCTAATTCTTGTTTTACTCCACGATTTTACCCAGTTCTGAGTATATTTTTCAGAGAATTTAATATTAGAATCAGAACAAACATTTTCATTTTTGTAACTCTTCTTTATACTGTTTCATAATAAGAAAAGTTAATTGAAGACCATTTCTTTTTATGTCCCTGTAATCGAAGTTTCACGGGTATATAGTTTTATCCTGTCCGTCTGTATGTCTGTCTGTCTATCTGGCGGTCTGTTTCTCTGCAAAAACTTTAACCTTTACCATAACTTTTCATTTATTATAGCTATATCTTTCATATTCAATATGTGTACATTCCTTGTGACAAGACCTTACATTGGATACCACCAAATTTGACCTTTTGACCTTTACCTTGGAGTTTGTCTCATATTACACAAAAATGCCAAATTTTTAATTCCTTTGGCTTTAACTTTTAAACGGTAGATACTAGTACTCTCATACTTCACAAATGTAATCCTTCTTACATTAAACCTTTCTTAAGAAACCATCAACTTTGACCCTTTGACCGTTTAGTTTGACCTACCTTTCAAACACTTATCCTTAGTCATTAATTTTGAACAAGTGGTGCTAGGGCTTTCCTATTTTGCAATTGTATTTCTTGTGAGAAGACCCTACTTTGGGTACCATTATATTTAAATTGCTTTTAAGAAAAGTTTAATCTTCGCTATGTTGCCATACAGGGGCATAGCTGTTTTACAAATAAATCATTTTATATATAAGAGGAGTTGCGGATAACAGATGGATACCCCAAAGCGTAACAGACGGACGGACATCCCAATCACTATTTACCCTCCCGCTTTTCAAGCGGAAGATAGAATAATGTATGATACTGCTGATTTTTTTTCTGTCAGTACGATGATTTCCACCATTGAAAAACAATGCTTACCTAACACTTCAGGCTCGATAAATCTTTACTCCTTTAGATTCTGAATCATCGCGTTGACCTTGAAATATAGCTATAATCGTATGCTATGAGATCAACATATCATCAATCTATTCCAAATAAGCTCAGGTGAGCATTTTGGCCAATATGCTTCTTTATCTAATATTTTTTTTGCCCCCTAAAAATTTCAGCTTTAATCAACAGGGAGTGTTTTTTCTACGGGGGTCATTTTTCTTCACGTTGGTTCTGCAAATTTTTAGAGTGGTGACACTTTTTCTACGGGCAAAAGGGTCATTTTTCGACGTCGAATAATGACCGGGGGTCATTTTTCGCTGTCGAAAAATGACCCCCGGTCATTATTCGACGGGGGTCATTATTCGTCTTTACACCGGCATATTTCATGAAGCGCGTTAGTGCTTCATGATAAATATGCAGACGTGAGTGTTGTAGTTCATATACGTCATGAATCTTCAAAAATTAAATTCATTTCTTATATTTACATTTTTTAAGAATTGCCATAAATTTACGCCTTTCAACTGATATTTTTAAAGCAAATCAGTGTGCACTTTATTTTTGACGTCAAGAGCGGTACATGTATTTTGACGTAACAATGGAGATATAGAGTCGTGCTTATTCGTGGTACATACGTAATGTAGTTCATGAGAAAATATACTGCTTTTTTGCAAAGAATCATAAGGGAAATTTATTGGAAATGTAAATATTAGTATTTGAAGTATTCAAAAAGTTTTCTGGGACAACCCTCGTACATGTAGATCACGCTTTATTGTTTATGTCATCTTGTCCTTGGATCATTACAGAGATCAGCTTTTTTAATTGCACATTCCTGGCCTAATGACTCAATGCCTGAGATTTGCGAAGAGCGTTGACTTTTACTGTCGACGGCTTACTTTTTCACCGAAACAATGTACGGAAAATATTTAGCCCCATATTTTATAAAAAATTTTAAAAATAAAGTTCTGAAATAAGGCACATATATAGAATCCGACAACCACTCTACACTGAAATAACGCCGCTCTTCATATTCTTTTGCTCCAAACACCGTACATGTACCTATGACAACTCGAAAATTTTCTTTTCAATATCAATTAATAATGTACCTCCGTACTTAAGACAGGTTAAAATGTCAAAGTGAACTCGCAAAAGTCCTATAAGAATGACTTTGCGAAGAAATCATGTTTACAAGAATCTTAAACTAGAATTTTCGAGGGAAATATTAGAAATTATCATAATACAAATGTGAAAATGTAACAGAATCATGTAGATATTACCTGACTTCTGATGGTAATGGCAGGTGTCCTATCGATCCTGTTGCTAAACATACACTTATATGTCTGTATATATCTACTTTCCATATTTTGTAACCCAGTAGCTGTGTCAGTAGCTGTGTATAAAGTATTAAATATACGTGTACATGTACACTTGTTTTACTTCCTTTTATTATAACAGTATAGAGGGGGTTTCAAATTAAAATTAGAATTTCTCTATTGCTTTCATTTTGTTGTACGTATAAGTCGTAGATACCATTTCCTTGAATTTTTATGGAGATAAAGGGAATTCAAATGTGTAAAATTTTAAATTTGCTTTGAAAAATACAAGAAATGTCACGTTAAAAATTATGATTTCAGGATAAAAGAAAGAATGAACTCTATGAGGATGTCATTAAAAAGATCACAAGTATTCTAAATGCTGATGTAGGTTTATTTATTTTTTATTGTTAATTAATTGGTCTGTCTAGCTGTGTGTTTTTCAGTAACAAAATTTTTGTCATAGTTTTCTCAGCAAGTACTCGTTGCAGATGTTCAAAATTTTGGCACATTCTTTGTGAAAGCATGCTAGAGTTATTTTTGTTCAAATACAATATCAGCTTTTTGTTTATCTATGCGTCTGTTCGTACCATATATATGACCTCTGTTAACTTTAAATCAAAGTTTGTGTCCAAGTAAAATCATCAAAATGAATGCATGTGTTTATTGTGATAGAATGTGAAAAAAAGAGCTAAGATTTATAATATTAAATTACCCAGCAATAAAAATAGATCTATATAGTAATTTTAATTGATTTCTTTTTATAAATATAGCATACTTTTGAGAAATGCTGTAAATGTAGCACATCCTTTATATTTAATTGATAACTTTTACATTTCTCAGCACCTAGGCAGCAGTGAGGAAACAGCCACATTGGAAAAAACAGAAAATACCATTCTATGGAAACTAAACCAACTGGCCCCTCATACTGAATCTGTTGCTCAGTTTAGGGTATGATCTACATGTACCTGATAATCTTATTGTGAAGTATATTTTAAAATATATAATTGCATCAATAATTTTTTGCATCTTTTAAACTGTTTATTGATGTCTGAAACAAAATTTTGGAAGCAATTTTACAAATCACAATGGTTCATTCTGTTGAGAAAGCAATCTGAATACCATTGAAGTATTAAAGTAGATTGTATTCTGATTGGATATGCAGAAGTGTAAATATTTTTTACAGTCCAGAGTTTTTGATGTCAAGGTTTTACTGCTTGGGACTATTAATGCCTTATCCATGTATAATATAACACTTGTTCATCTACATTGTACTTCATTCTTGTTTTTGTTTTTGTTGATTAATCAAAGCAGTGAATTAAACAGGGAAGATGTTGGAACTCTTAGAATGGGATCTGAAATTTCTGGCCATCTGCTATCAGGGATGAAGATTAAAACTGTGAAAATTGTTATTCAAAAGCAGACAACTCCACAAAAGTGGCTGAGGTAAATAACTGTCAGTGATTCCTTTTTTTTTTTTTTGTCAAACTTGTGTAAAAATGAAAATAAACAAAGATAAACAAAGATCAAAGAAAGAGAAGAAAAAGTATGAAGTTTACCTTTTTGCAAGCTTATTAAAATTTCCTTGATTACTGCAATTCGTACAATTGTGATTAGATAATTTAAATATCATCGGGTATTTTGATTGATTTATTTTGATTGTCGCGACAATCAAAATAAAAAGCAGCTCGTGAAGGTTTGATTTTAATCAGTTTGATAAGTGGATATAAAAATATTTGATCAAATAATGTTTACATGAATTCTAAAAAAAGTCGTATAACCATCTAGCCACAAAAATAAACTTAAACAAAGGATCATTATTCTCTTCATAATTGCTGAAAATGTTCAGGTCCATGAACTACCTTTATCTCCCTTTGTGCAACTTACAAATCAGTAGAGCTACGGTCTTGTCAGAAATTTCTGGTTAGTATTCTTTCAGTAAAACTTTCAGGGACGTAAAAATTAAGTTAATTTAAATATTTTTTTTTCTAAAAGATTTCTAAGAACTTTTATCTATTTTTGAGCTGTTAAAGCTGCTTTTAAGGAAGAGGGGGGGGGGGGGGGGGGGGGGGCAAAAGCTTATTTGCGTATTTGTAGAACAATCTAAGAATCTCCTATGATATACACTCTCTTATGTCATCTGTGTTTTTTTTATATCAAAATAGAAAAGGTGTATGTCTCAGGGAATATTCATGATAAGGGAAAAATATTTCAGTACCATCTACTCATTTCTGGTTAAATACTAGTATGTATTTTTTTTTTCACTTTGGTCAATTTCTCAAATTTTAATTTATTCAAATTTGGTAACTTGAGATATACATTATTTATTCTGCATATAAAGCAACATGTAATGTATTCTCCCTTTATAAAAGGGACAAAATCATTCAAGAGTGCCTCCTTTAAACTTCTTCATGAATTAAATCTATTTTTGATTTTGTAAAATATGTAGAACACCAACTATGACACATTTTTCATCTGCACACTCAGCTATGTTATGTAATGCACCGTATTTGAAGTTTAATTGTCGAAAATCAAATTAACGACATGATGATGTGAAAACAACAAATTGAATTCATTTATTTTATCAAATCTTTTAAAATTTCAATTCTTGATGGCAATAACGTCGAGAAATAGAAGAAAGCTTTATGTTAAATATGACGTCACCAGCCCTGACATGACGCAGCACAAGTGATCCAGAGGAAAAGAGTCACTGGTTTAATAATTACTAAAATTCTTGATTAAATATGAAATCATCGCTAATTTTTTTTTACATAATCATTATAAAACTAAAAACAAAATAATCTATTAAGTACAATGTATAAAGAATATGAATCTATTTTGTAGGATTGGAGCTGCACAGGGACAAGGAAGGTACGGACTATCTCTAGAGCGACGCGTCGGTTGACAATGGTTTTCCTTGGGGTGTCAATTTCAACTGTTACCCTCAAAAACAGGCACCATTTATATAGTGGTAACTGACTATATTTATTAAAATTGAATGTAGTGCTAAATAATTCGGAAATATCATAAAAAGTAAAAGCTTTGTCAATTGAATCAATACCATTTTTTATTTCAATCATTTTCTTGTTTATTTCATTCAGATGTTTCTGTAGAATTTGTAACTGAGTATTTTTCATCTCGTCAACTTCAGCTTTTAGTTTCTTGACAAGTTTGTAAATTTCTCTGTGCCAGTCCTCTCCATGTTTTTTATCAGGCTGTTGAGAGAATCTCCATATTCCCTTTCTAAGTAACTCATTCTGTTTTGTACATCAGAGGCAATGTCCTGGTAGGTTGGATAAATGACCTCATTCAATTCAGTTTGATCTTTGGTCACCTTGTCTTTTATTTTTTCCAGAACGTCCAAGATTTCTGATAACCTATGACCTAAATGTTGGTCAGAGGCAATACGCTTTTTGCAAACAGGAAAGTTACGGTGCTTGCAGTACATTTTACATCGGCTTTTAGCATTAGATATAGACTCAGGGTAGACTGGAGTTGAATTTTTATCTTTGAAAGCAACAATTTTGTGAGACTTTGAGAGACTAGCTGAAGCATGTTCTCCCGCACAGGCCATACACAGGTTGACAAGACATGTATCACAGTGGATCTGTACCACAGCGGTCTCACACAGGTCACATTGCATCACGTCCTTGGCACTCGTACGTGGGTCCATGATTCAACCTTCAGCTCTGAATTATAGAGATAGTGTAACACATATTTAGCATGTTATTTGATGAAAACTTTATTTTAACCTCTTGAACTATTTAATGCATTGATCGAACTCTGTTCTAGCTTTATAAAGTAACAAATTATTCAGGTGGCTTTTTATTACTTTTGGAATCAATGCATGATTAAATACCATAATACACTATAAAATGTATGTGTCACATGATTAATTTTGGTTACTTAATCATTTCTTGGAAGTAAAGAGGCATTTGGTAGAGTTTAAGAATGAATAAAGAATTTCTTTAAGTCAGGCTATATTGTACTTTCTTTATTATTAGTTAAAGTTATATTATCATCAGAAAAACAAAAAGTTCCACTTAGTAGAAATTTTTTTTTACTTCTTATAGCAGAAACTAGTGATTGACAAATAGATCAAATGTGACATCTGTACCTGGATGATGCATATAAAAATTAATTGAAAAATAGCAATTCCTTTTCACTTAATAAATACTACACGTTTTTTTTAAAATCAGTTTAAGTTTAGAACTATAAATAAAGAACTTCGACTTTCATATCAAACGTTGTTGTATTTGTGATCATGTTCTAGGATCATTACAGGGATCAGCCATTTTTTAATTCCTCATGCTCGAACCAATGACTCACTTATAAAAAATATATGAACAAAACATGTTGATTTCAAGGGAAATATTATAAAACTTATCATAATACAAATATAAGAGAATCAGTTTTACCCGACTTCTGAGTGTAATAGCGGTCGTCCTATCGATCCTGTTGATATAAACATGCACTAACAATTTGTGTATCTATCTATATCAAATGACCCAAATAGGTTTATACTGTATCTATACAACTTTATTTTACTTCCTTGAAGAAGGGATTTAAAATTATAGATTTTATATTTAATAATATCAATGTGTTATTTCAAAGTCATGCATATTTTTGGAAAGTCTTACATGGAATTAGAGAAGAATCAAACATTGCAAAAATAATCAGTATTTTAAATTTCTTTCGAAGAATTCAAGTATTTTGACTTTACAAATTACAATTTTAGAATAAAAGAATGAACTCTATAAGGATGTCATAGAAAAAACGTAAGTGTTATAAATGCTGACGTAAGTTTTTGTTGTTGTTGTTGTTGCTATTTTATCTCTTTTAAATTTGAATGCTTTATCTTAAACAACATGTATGTGCTACAATAAAGTTAATTTACAGAGTACATTCTTATATTTCTTAAAAATATAAAGCTCTGGAAAAACAGTGCATTTGCAAATTTACTTTGTCACAATTCGAGTCATTTAACAGTATTTTAAAAGCATTGGAGCTGATTTTGTAACATATTGCATTTGACAAAATGATTTACATTAAATATATTATTCAGTAATACATGTAAAACCACATTTTCTTTGCAGAGGAGTGTTTCTAGTCTTGAGGTCCATGGTGCTAAGAAGGACAAAAACTTTCTCTATGTCAGTCCTAAGGACAAGGTCAATTTGAACAACATCATCATGGTTCAAAGAAATTTCTGTAATAAAGGTATTTCTTCAGAAACAATATGAAAGATGGATGCTATTGAAATGCACTCTCAACCACTATTGATATAATTATTTCAATAGTGGTCGTTATTTCAATAGTGGTTGCAACAATGCAGACTTAAGTAGGATACAAAAAACTTTTTAAACGCTATTCCTTTTTACAGTTTCGGTCTGATTTCAGTATACTGAGAATCTTTGAGCACAAGTAGACAATGCTGAGATACATTGTTGTCTATATTGTTGTTTTTTTTTTATTTTGTTGAGTGATGTTGACATGATTACTAAAGTCAAATTTCTGTAGAAAATTTTTGAAAAGATTAAAAAGAGACTTTATAAAGGACCATAATTCTATTGATAGCCGTGAAAAGACTGATGATGATTAGTTTATTTAAAAATTCAGAGCAAGCAAACATTAATTAATTTGAATATTTGTTTTTCTTCTGGTTAACACTGAATATTTTGAGATTTTTTAGTCTTACCAGCTTATATCAAGCCGTTTTTAAATGATTGATGATTGTATACTGTTTAACGCCCCTCTCCAGAATATTTCACTGATATGGAGACGTCACCATTGCCGGTAAAGGGCTGCAAATTTAGGCCAATGCTCGACACTTACGGCCTTTGAGCAGGGAGACTTGAGAAAACCTAGTATGATCCCAAGGAGATCATTTAAGTCTAGTGCATTACAATAAGCAAGTGTATTCCAATTTCCAACTCCAATTGATTTAAACCTGACAAATTGTATAAACGTGTAGTTTTACTATGTCTTATAAACCAACATAGTAATGCATACCCTTTATATAAAGGTGAGTGACAGCTTTAAACATTTTAATGTAATAGATTTCATTTTTATTTTTATAAAAACACATTTAGAACAAAAGTTATGACACATTTATAATGTATAAAATGTTCATTCAAATTTATTTTTAATATCAAAACTATTGTATCGTCTATAGTATTCTGATGGACTTCACTGAAGATATTTGATTTTCTTCACTTGGTTGTTTCCACATTGAGCAACAAACAGATTGTCATTTGAATCCGTACACAGTCTCAAAAGATATCTCAGTCCACAGTTTATGTAACGGAGGAACTGTCCATCCTGGTCAATAATGTGGACAAAGTCGTTGTAATATGTATTATCAGCTGTAAGGATGTGACTCTGACTGTCTGTGGTGATTCCTCGTGGAGTAAATGATCCTTTCTTTGTATGCCCAGTGTACCTGAATCTTAGTTTTCCAGCCTGATTGACCACCACTACTGCTTTAGCTCCATCATCAGATACACAGATATCCAGGTTCCTGTTCTCAGTTATAAATCTGTAATAATGAGAACCAGATGAAAAGAGAGGTCTACCATTATCATCAAACTGAATAGTTTGTTTCTGATTAGAGCTAAAACAACGGACAACTTTTGTTTGTTTGTTATCATCACTGAGCAAGATAACCAGGAAGTCTCCAGAGAAGGTACTACAGACACCGTGAGGTCTCCAGTTCTGTAGTCTGATTAATTCCTCTATCATTCCATTTTTCACAATGTTCACAGTTCTATCACCATTATCGCTATAAACTAAATCTCCACTTTTTGTCACTGCTATGTCAGTCGGCCAGTTCGCGGACTTAGTTGTGATTGACTTGAGTACTAATCCCTGATTGATGCTGTATAGTGTCATGGTGCTGATATTTCCACTTGTCCAGATTTCTTCATCATTCAGACAGACAACACTGTAAAGGTGATTTCCATACCAAGTGTTTATGGTGGAGACAAACTCTGGTTCACCAAGCAGCTGTTTGACTGAAGGAGAGGATCCAGCTTCTTGTGATTTGTGATTTGTTTCTTTCATGCTGTAGCAGTTCTTTTCTAATAATATGGAAGTTAATGATAAGGTTCCAAACAGCTTACTAAGTTGCTCTCCATTGATTCTTCCTTGGGTGAATGAGGGTGGGGAAAGCACAGTTTTAAGTGGTAGCTGCCTATATTTATCTACATCAAATGTATTCCTGAATAGTTTGGAAATTTCATGAGAATTGATAACTTCATCAATTAAATCGATTTCTTCTTTTATTTTAATAATTGTTTCGTTTATTTCATCTAGATGTTTCTGTAGAGTTTGTAACTGTGTGGTTTTCCTTTCATCAACTTCAGCCTTAAGTTTCTTGACAAGTTTGTCAATTTCTCTGTGCCAGTCTTCTTCGTGTTTTGTAATGGCTGTTAAGAGATCTCTATATTCCTTTTCTAACTTACTCATTCTATTTTGGACATCAGAGGCAATTTTGTGGTAGGTAGGATAAATAATCTCATGTAATTCAATATGATCTTTACTTAGCTTGTCTTTTCTTTCCTCCAAAACTTTCAAGACTTCCGATAATTTATGTCCTAGGTGTTGATCAGATGCAATGCACTTGGTACATACAGGAATGTAACAATGCTTGCAGTACATTTTACATCCCTCTTTATCATGAGATGTACACCTAGGGAAGAGAGAAGTGGAGTTTCTGTCCTTGAAATCAATAATTTTATGAGGTTTTGAAAGATCAGCTGCAGCATGTTCTCCCACACAGGCCTTACACAGGTTGACAAGACATGTATAACAGTGCATCTGTACCACAGCAGTCTCACACAGGTCACATCGCATCAAGTCCTGGCAACTGGTACGGGGGTCCATCATTTAACTTTCAAATCTGAAATTCAGAGTAAAGTTAGCACTAATAGTTATCTGATGGAAAACTGCACTTTTACGTAGGCAGAATAGCAATTTTGGGGGTATTTTGGGGGGGTTGGAATGAAGAAAGGTTTCTTTTATAATCAGACCATTGTCCTTTAATTCATGTTAACATTTCCATTTAATACCTTATTTAATATCTCATTACAGTGATCAACCAGATTTTACATGAATTCTTGAAAATAATTTTCATGATAAATGAATACACGTAATTAGAACTTATAAATATTATCATAAAGCAAATGTTTAAATGTAACAGAATCAATGTAGATATTAATTACCTGACTTATGATGGAAATGGCTGGTTTCTTAATATCGATCCTGTTGCTATAAACATACACCTATACAGTTTGTAGTTTGTGTAACTAATATCTCGATCAGGTGATCCACATAATGTGTTTATACCTGTACAGTTTTATTTAACTTCCTTGTAGAAGGGATTTAAAGTTATAGATTTATCTCTACTGCCAGAGACTTAAATAACAGAGATTCGCAGCTTTTCAAAGTCTCGCGCGATCTTGCGTTCCATATTGTTTAAATATTCAAATCTCATGCAATCTCATCAACTTTGAGATAAAGTAATGTCTCTCAACTACCGCTATCATTTTTTTTATTTCTAAATCATGCATATTTTTATCTGAAACACTTCAATGGAATTAAAGAAGAGTAAAATATTGCAAATATTATTGCTTTAAAGAATTCAAAACATTTGGCGTTGCAAATTTTAATTTTCGGATAAAAGAAAAAATGAACTCTTTGTGGATGCCATAGCAATGATCACAAGCATTATAAATGCTGATAAAAGTTTTTTAGCTAACTTGAGCCGAAGGCTCAAGTGAGCTTTTCTGATAAAAATTTGTTCATTGTCTGTCGTTGTCGTAGTCATAAACTTTTCACATTTTCATCTTCTTTTCAGGAATCATGCACTGGGCCAATTTCAACCAAACTTGCCACAAAGTATTCTTGGGTAAAGGAGATTCAAGTTTGTTCAAATAAATGGCCATGTCCTCTTTCAAGAGAAGATAATTATGAATTAGTGAAACATTGATGGCATTTTTAAAAAATCTTCTTCTCCAGAACCACTGGGCCAGGAAAGGCTTATGTGAAATCATCCTCAGGTAGCGAAGATTCAAGTTTGTTCAATTCATGACCCCTGGGGAAGGATGGGGCAACCATGAGGTGTCCAATTGTAACATAGAAACACATAGGAAAAATCTTTTAAAAAATTCTTCTCAAGATTTACTTGGCCAGGAAAGATGAAACTCATGCAGAAGCATCTTCTGAAAGGGAAGATTTAATTTTGTTCAAATACGAGGGGTGATCAAAAAGTTCGCAAACTAATTGAATAACTTCCATACAAGAGACAGTATTTGGTTTTAAAGTTGATTATATTTTAAATTAATCCTTCCCGATTTTAATGCACATCAACCACCGTTCTGCGTATGCGCAAATCACGTGATATTGGCGGTCACGTGACCCCCTCCGTAGCGTTCTGTCACAAAAGTTAAAAGATTTTTCCGAGTTTTATATTTCTTTCCATGTGAGTTAATTTTTATGACAAGAACAATTAATTTGTCAGAAATGGTCATATCTCGGCAACAGAATGGATGGATAATAACATCCTTTCCAAAAATAAGCATGGCGACCATTAAAACACAAATTAATCTTCTGTCTCAGGAGAGACCTTTATTCAAGATGGATAGAGAATGGGTGCATCCTTTTTATCATATCTAATATGTTTAAAATCTAAAGTAAACGATATCTTAGGTATTTAATACTTATATCATTGTTCAAATATTCAACTATTTTTCAAAGTGCTAATTGGAGGTCTTCGATAGCAAATTGCCTAATTAAAAATACATATCTTTTCAAACTTGCTTTCACTGGGCAAGATGACAAGTATCATTTTTATCCATCAGCCTTCCTTCACTAAAACGATTAATCCAATCATTAATTGAATTTATAGGAACTCATTTATCTCAATAAACTGTGTACAAATTATTATATGATACTTTAGAGGGATTTCTAAGATATTACAATAAATTGTACAGTCGTTTGTTGAACGAGTTCGACTGCGACAACCATTTTTCGTCACAAGTAACCTAAATAGTGACGTCATTTTCACATTGTGACGTCACAAACAAGGAGAGAAACTTTACTTAGCATATTCTATTTATAGACCTTGTGTATGGCTATGTGTGTACCGAATTTCATTCTAATCTGAATTGTGGTTTTGTAGATATAGAGATAGTTTGCGAACTTTTTGATCACCCCTTGTAATGACCCCCCCAGGAGTAGGGTTGGGCCATGATTGGGTATCAAAGTTTAACATAGGAATACATAGGAAAAAACTTTTTGAAAAATATTTTTCTCAAGAACTGCAAAGTTGTGATTGGTCATGGTAATTTGGAAGCATCCTCTGAATGTTTAGATTAAGTTTGTTCAAATCATGATCCTTAGTGGTGGTTGGGGGATCACAATAGGGGATCAAAGTTTAACAAAGGAAAACATAAGAAAAATCTTCTCAAGAAAGCAAAGTCATGACTGGTCATAGTTATATGGAAGCATCCGTGTATAGTGTAGATTGAAGTTTGTTCAAATCATGACACCTTTGGCAAGGTTGTGGCCACAATGGGTGATCAAGTTTTTACATAAAAATGCATGGTCAAAATTGATAAAATTCTTCAAAAAGTCATCATGATGGTTGATCATCAATTTAAAAGCATGAAAAAAGTAATGTAAATTTGAAATTCAGGAGAATAGAGGAACCATAAAGTGGACATATAAATACAAAGGCTATATCAATAAACATTTTCATCCTATAAACAACAAAACCATATTGTGTCACAAAAGCATTCTAAGGAAGTGTAGATTTAAGTTTGTCTTAAAACAAACTTAAATCTACACTTCCTTAGAATGCTTTTGTGACACATTATGGTTTTGTTGTTTATAGGATGAAAATTCTAAGCATTCTAAGGAAGTTTAGATTTAAGTTTGTTTACACCCCCCCCCCCCAAGAACCCACTTTTATGATATATATCTTAATTTTTTAATACTGAACCAATTTTTGCTTTTCCCTAGCCAGTTGCTCAGGTGAGTGATGTGGCCCCAGTCCTCTGTTTTTTTCTTTCTATTTTATCGCTTAATTCGCTTTCAATTTGACACCTCTATTTTAAACATTAAGTATATGATATGCCAAAGTAAGTTTACAGAGCACAGAAATACTTTGTAAAATTTAAATATCACATAAAAGCCACAATGCTTCATGACAAGTAGCACTCATACTTTTATTTTTATATTTCAGAAATATACAAGTAAAGCTCTGGATTAACAGTTCTTTTGCAAATTTACATTATCACAATGCAAGTCATTTTAATCCAAAAGCACTCGAGTTGATTTTTTAACTTATTGTGTTTAAATTCTTTGACAAAATGAAGCGTATACTCTGTAGTGGTATGTTTAGGTTGGATGAATATTCTTTTTCAATTGATGACTTAAGCATTTTCCAGCATTTAGACAGCAGAGAGCAAACAGCCACACTGGAAAAGACAGACAACAACATTCTATGGAAACTAAAATCATAATAAACGTTTGTTCGTTTATAAGCATCATTCACCATGATAACCAGCAGATCATCCAATGAAGTAGTACAGGCAGCACGAGGTTTCCAATCCTGTAGACGGATCATTTCCTCAACATTTATTTTCTCATTCTTCGCAATGTTAACAGTTCTATCCTTGTAATCGGTATAAACTAGGTCTCCACTTTTTGTCACTTCTATGCTAAAGTGTGTAGTCCCTGACTTAGTTGTGATTGACTTGAGTAGTGATCCCTGATTGATGCTGAAAAGTTTCATTGTGCTGTCATCCCCACTTGTCCAGATTTCTTCATCACTGAAACAGGCCACATTGTAAAGGTATTTATAACCAGTGTTTATGGTGGTGACAGTCTCTGGTTCATCAAGCAGCTGTTTGACTGGAGCAGAGGATCCAACTTCATGTAATTTCTGTGATGTCTTTATGTTGTAACCTTTCTTTTCTGGGGATAGGGAAGTTAATGATAAAGTTCCAAACAGTTCACTGAGTTGCTCTCCATTGATTTTGCCTTTGGTGAATGTAGGTGAATAAAGCGTAATTTTATGTGGTAGCTGTCTGTACTTATCTACATCAAATGTAGTGCTAAATAGTTTGGAAACAGTATAAGAGGTAACAGCTTTGTCTATTGAATTGATTTCATCCTTGATTTCAATAATTTTTTTGTTTATGTCATCCAGTTGTTCTTGTAGAGCTTGAATCTGCTTGTGTTTAATCTCATCATATTCAGCTTTTAGTTTCTTGACAAGTTTGTCAATTTCTCTGTGCCAGTCATCTCCATGTTTTGTTATGGCTGTTAAGAGATCTCCATATTCCTTTTCTACCTGACTTATTCTGTTTTGTACATCAGAGACAATGTCTTGGTATGTTGGATAAATAACCTCATTTAATTCAATATGATCTTTTCTTAGTTTGTCTTTTCTTTCCTCCAAACTTCCAATATTTCTGATATTTTATGACCTAGATGCTGATCAGATCCAATACATTTGATGCACACAGGAACGTTTACAGTACATTTTACACCGCCCTTTCCCATGAGATGTACACCAAGGGTAGAGGCGGGTCGATTTTCTGTACTTGAAATCAACAATTTTATGAGGTTTTGAGAGATCAGCTGCAATGTGTTTTCCCACACAAGCTTTACACAGGTTGACAAGACATGTATCACAGTGCATCTGCACCACAGCGGTTTCACACAGCTCACATCGCATCGCATCCTGGACACTGGTTCGGGGGTCTATGATTAAACTTTTAACTCTGAAATATAGAGTTAGTTTAACACTTATGGTTATCTGATGGAAAATTGAACTTATTCAACCTTAAGGTAGAAGTGCAATTTTTGGGTGTAAGAATGAGCAAAGGTTTCTTTTAATCATAAAAATTTCCCATTACAGATTAAAAGTTAAAACTGTGTCAACATTTCGATTTAATAAGAAAGACACTTGGGTTCTTCAACAGAAACTGGTGCTTTACAAATGGAGCAAATGATCTTTTTATCAGATCATGTATTAAAGGTCAATATATATATAGAATATCACACTGCTGTTTTGATCTCGGCCCTGGTATCAGCCCGAGCGGTTGGTATCGGCCCAAGCCCAGAGGGCGCGGGCCGAGACCACCCGAGGGCTGATACCAGGGACGAGATCAAAACAGTGGTGTGATGTTGTTTATGTCATATATCTTAAAGCAAAGAAAAGAACAAATATTTTGATATTTTTTGATCATCACGTTTATAATTTTGTCAGAAAAAAATATTAGAGTTATCTTTCTTTATTTCGATGTTCCTGGAGATGTTGCTTGACGGTGAATACTCAAATAGAGATTTGCCTGGTCTGGTCATTTAAAAGAATAGTCCTTTTGAAACATTTCATTTCGAAGCACATTAGAAAGATTTAAAAGGTCCCGAACTTAAAAATATTCTACTTTCACTTTTGATCGAACCGGGGTGACAACTTCGTCAACGAATCGTTACAATTTGTAAACCTGAGATTTATAGTAACTATTTGTTTTGTTTACAATATATATTTAATTTAAAATGGCACATTAAATGAAAACTTGGTATTGTCTTACTGTCAAAGCAAATAAACGTCCATTGTTTCAAAGCATGACTTGTTGCTGTCCTAGAAGTAAACAAGAGTTACCTCTCTTACGTCACAAGTGCTATCATTTGGCGCACTTTTTAAAAACAATTTTCTCAAAATTCTAATATGAATAAATATTTTTTAAAGATTCTTGTTAAATTTTTCAATATATAATGTTTCTCTTTAATACTTAAATATGAATTTTACTCTTAATTCACACAAATTAAACAGAAATAATGATTTGAAATTTGAGGGCGAGACAGCCCCTTGACGACGGGCCGAGACAGATATCTCAGCCCTGAGGGCGAGACAGCCCTACTTCCGAGGCGCTGTCTCGCCAAGTCCAAAACGCCTGTATCAGGGCTGATACACTACTAGGTATATGATATAATATAATAACTTTAACTCATTATTGTTTTCTGAACTGGAAAGATATAAAAGAGTAACACTAGAAACGTACACTATTTGATCAATATTTATAAACACACAGTGGGATAAGGCTTTATTGAAACGCACAAATATGATAAAGGTGTCGCTCTCAGTGTACTGTATACTTTTTCCTTAGCAAAACCTTTATCTCTCAAGCGTTTGCAAGACTCTCTTACCAGGCAAATTGTCAGTGGACAAACTAGATAAAGCCGGAAGTAAAAGATTTTTTTCTATAGATATACGTCACAGCCTGTATGAATTTTTAAGGCGGATTCCGCCTGGAATTTGGGTGGAATTGAGCAGGAATTGGCAAATTCCGGGCGTACTTGAGGCGGAGACGGAATTTTCGAAAAGTTACGCCTCAGTAGAAGAGACGTCTTACAGACGTCATTTCTAAATTCCGGGCGTCAATTGGCAAGTTCAGATTTTCCGGGCGTAAAATGGCAGGAAAATAGAAACAAAAATTACGCCTGGAACTTTCAGGAGAAGTAAAAGCCTCTGATTGGTCAATTTAATTATCAATTAAGGGTCATTTCAGATAGGAGGTTAAGTTTGAATTTGATCATGAAGGAGGGAGTTTAGTGTGAGTGAAACAGGAAATGCAGATATCTCAATGTTAAGGCTTTTACACTTCTTGAGGATGATCATAACACAGTGTCTTCTGGTAGGTGTGATCATGAAAATCTAGTACCTATTTGAGTAAATTTGATTATGATTATGTACAATGATAGTTATAACTGGTTGACCCTAAAATTACTTTAGAATTATTTGAGTTTGTCCTTGCACACATTCTGAGAAATATCAGTCTGATAGAGGCTGCAGTGAGAATCTAACTGTAAACTGCTGAGTAATTGAAGAATTGTATTCAGTCAGTAACTAAAATGTTTCAATATAATTATTGAAGTGATAAAATGTACAGGTATTGTAAAAAAGTTTAATTCTAAATACACACTCAATCATGGTGGTCGTGTTTTAGTGTCCCTAATGCACAAAATTCATGTTATTTTTCTATACTTGTTAATGATATATGTTAATGACATGTCATTATGTTTTCTTACAGTTCAAAAAGCTAAATATTTAGCTTTAACATTGTAAATCATAATCTGAATGTTTTTCTTTGTTAACATGGTGAATATATAGGTTTTTAGGTCACATAGTATTATATAATAATAAGGACATTCCAGGCGTAATTTTATTCCAGGCGTCATTTTAGTTTCCAGGCGTAATTTTTTTACGGGCGTCATTTATTTTTCCGGGCGTAGCTCATTTGCATTTTTCGCCTCAAATTCCTGCCCGTTTACGCTTGGTTTCCGTCTCAGTTACGCCCGGAACTTTTGTATCACCATATATGTAGAGAGACAAATTGACGCCTCTCCAAGTACGCCTCAATTTCCCCTATATTCCAGGCGGAACATTTCGTACAGGAAGTCACATGGTGTGGAGGACCCTTAAGGAAAAGCAATATATTCACAATTGATACTTTTTGTGCCAGTGTAAGTTCCATATGATCGATGGTTGTCCCAGAAAAACGCAAATATTTTTTTTATTTGTGTAACTAAGATTATGAAATTAAAACATCTTTTTAACAATGCCTAAAACTTCAATGACATATTTCTATAAATAACACTTTTTTCTCAGGGAAATGAATCCAACAAATCCGCTGTCGGCGCAACACTGACGACGTAAATTTGTTGCTCGTATTGTTTGTGAATTTGTTCTGGAAAATGGGCCTCTAATAAAATTCATTTTAGCATAAAGTTGACACCGTATTTAATTTTCCTTTAGTTACCAAATTATACATCTCAAATACTAGTGTTACCAAAAGATTGCGCAGTTAATTCTTTTGACAGACAATTTCACATTCCCAATCATAAACCTAATTCTCTAAGGTCTTAACGTAGCTTATGACGCCCTGCTCTTGTCATTTCATTCTTCTTCTCTTTGGTCTATTTTCTTCTATCGGATAACCAGTCAAGTCAACCTCAAACTCCCTCAGCTAGAGATAAACCTGCTTTCTATTCTTATGTTTGTATTTTTCATCGTTAACATATCTTTGTATCCCTATGTACAGGAGTTGTATCCCGCTCCACATTCGTGCTCCAAAATACCGCCTTACAATGTACGTCATCATTCTTGACAATGTTAAATTCAAAGTGCTTTGGAATATATCATTATATATTTGTCATTAATTATGCCAAATAGATTTATTTTTAATATGAGCACACAACATTAAAGAGTGTTTATGGAGGTAACATATGTAACATTATATTTCCTTATAGCATGATTAAAAAAGAATACTTCATTGACTATGCTATTTGTAAATGTTAAAATTTCTCTTGCGCCAACCACCGATATTTAAAATCTTCTATGTACATTTCTTTTATATGCATGTGGCATCAAAGGCCTATAATGTGTTGTCTAAATAGCAAAAAGATCATTTTCCTGCAAAAAATTAGATGTTTTGGTTCAATAGTATTTGTCCTTGGTCCTTACAGAGATCAGCTATTTTTTTAATTGCACATACCTGGCCTAATGACTCAATATTGAGAAAAGCGTTGTCTTTTGCTGTCGACGGCTTACTTTTACACTGAAACAATGTACAGTAAATATTTAGCACACTATTTTATAAAATGAGAGAGACGTGCTGGAATAAGGTATATCCTGAAATAACGCCCTTCATATTCCTTTGCTCCAAACACAATACATGTACCTATGACAACTAGAAAATGTTCTTTTCAATATCCGTTAATTAATGTAACTCCGTACATGACACAAGTTTAAATGTCAAAGTAAACTCACAAAAGTCCTATAAGGATGACTTTGTGAACAAATCTTGTTTACAAGAATCTTAAAATATAATTTTCAAGGGAAATTTTAGAAATAATCACAATGCAAATGTTACAGAATTAATGTAGATACATGTATTACCTGACTTCTGATGGTAATGACAGGTGACCTATCTAAACACACACCTATATGTCTATATGTATCTTCTTTCCAGATTTGGTAACCCAGTAGCTGTGTACATATACATGTTCACTTATTTTACTTCCTTTTATTATAACAGTATAGAGGGGATTTCAAATTAAAAATAGAAATTCTCTACTGCTATCATTTTGTTGTAAGTATAAATCGTGCATACCTTTTCCTTGAATTTTTTTATGGAGATAGAGGAAATTAAAATATGCAAAAATAACCAGATGAGTAATATATTAAAGAAATACGCACGCTAACTCTCGATTCCCGCCTACATTTTGGATCTATTTAATTCAAAATAAACAGCAATTTGGCCATAAAATCTTTGTTTAATACAAAGAACAGTTCAATGGGAAATGATGAATTGCCTTGATACCAGCGCTTAGTAGTAAATTATCCAAAATTCCAGCTCTTGAAAAAAGGGGGGTAGACGATATTTTCCATTGAAATCGGACTTTCAACCACCACCATATTTTGAAATAGTCTTGGATGTGATTAAATGTTCCTTATATCTTTTCTTATATTTTAGGGAAATAAATAAAACATAAATATGTTAAATAAAATGTTTCAGTTGTGAATCGCTTTTTAATTGGTGGAATGTAAGCAATTTTATCGTTTTTTGTCAATAAACATATGTTCCCCCCCGTGTCACACAAAAAGCTTTGGTATGAATTTGTGAAATAACAGTCCATATTAACTGTAAAAAGGAATTTTTGTGTCACGGT